CAGTTAAAGATTATACTGAATTGATGTAGAAGTTGTTTGATTTTGATTTGTTAAGAACTTTATTCTAAAATAAAGGTAAAATTAATTAAATATTAAATAATAAGATTTTTCATTTCGATTAGATGGAATGCATGGTGTTGCAGGACCTTATGCTAAACATATTTTAGGCACTTTATTAGGATGTTCAAAAGAATCTTTATTAAATTGTGATCCATCTGAAGATTTTGGTGGTGGTCATCCAGATCCAAATTTAACTTATGCTCATGATTTAGTTGAATTATTAGATATTCATAAAAAGAAAGATGTAAATACAGTTCCATAATTTGGTGCTGCATGTGATGGTGATGCAGATAGAAATATGATATTAGGTAGATAATTCTTTGTAACACCATCTGATTCATTAGCAATATTAGCAGCTAATGCTAATTTAATATTTAAAAATGGTTTATTAGGTGCAGCTAGATCTATGCCAACTTCAGGAGCTTTAGATAAGGTTGCATTAAAAAATGGAATTAAATTATTTGAAACACCTACAGGATGGAAATTCTTTGGAAATTTAATGGATGCAGGATTAATCAATTTATGTGGAGAAGAAAGTTTTGGAACAGGATCTAATCATATTAGAGAAAAAGATGGGATTTGGGCTGTTTTAGCATGGTTAACTATTTTAGCACATAAAAATAAAGATGCTGATCATTTTGTTACAATTGAAGAAATTGTCACATAACATTGGTAATAATTTGGTAGAAATTATTACTCAAGATATGATTACGAATAAGTTGATTCTGCTGGTGCAAATAAAATGATGGAACATTTAAAAACTAAATTCTAATATTTTGAAGTATTTTATTATTTAATAATTAAATAGTAATTAAAAGAAGGAAATAAAGCAGATATATATGATTATATTGATCCTGTTGATTAATCTGTTTCAAAAAATTAAGGAGTAAGATTTGTTTTTGGAGATGGATCTAGAATTATATTTAGGTTAAGTGGAACAGGATCTGTAGGTGCTACTATTAGAATTTATTTTGAATAATTTGAATAAGTAGATATCAAACATGAAACTGCCACAGCTTTAGCCAATATTATTAAACTTGGTTTAGAATTAAGTGATATTGCTAACTTCACAGGAAGAAATGAACCAACTGTCATAACTTGAACAATCAATCATATTATTAAATAAATATTCAAAATATATATTAATTTAATTGTGAAACCAATCTTTTTTTTAGGAATTTTTAAAAAATAATAATGTCTTTTTGAAAATATTCTTATTTACTCATTATAAAACTCTTTATTCTTTTAGATTTAATACTTATGATAGTTATAAAAATATCTATCGTATTTTTTCTTAATATTATTTGATTTTGAGACACAGAAATTGTCGAAATCATATATATTAATTTAATTTTAATGATAAATAGTAATGAAGTTTCTCCTGTTAAAATGTCAAATGGTATTAATTGATGTTTAAATACCAGAATAGAAACAAGACATAATGAAATCAATATTGAAAGAAGAATCGATGATCAATATAACATTAAAACCTATAGAGCAAGAGATTTTTTTGGCTGAAGATCCATAGGTGGCATTGATGAAATTAAAATGTTTCTAAGAACTAATTAACAAAGAGAGGTAATTAATGGAGCTGAGAGTAGATTAGCGTATGCAGAACATTTAGCTGAAATATTTGAATTGATAGGAGAAGATGCATATAGAAATTTAGGATTTATCCTTAAGTAATTTGTAAAATTAGTTTTAAATCTATTTAAAAGGTTAAAGACTCATATTCGATCTAATTGTCTGTTATTCGATAGTTACCTATTCTTGTAGAGTAAATTAAGAAACGATAATCAGGATATGTGGAATTAAAAGAACATGTTCTGCCATTCATGAATATATTTCTTGAACATTAAGACTTTGATGTAAAATTACTTAATTATGATTAGATTAAAAAAGAAGTTTTGACATAATTACTAAAAATAGCACCCTTTTTAATTGAATCTGATAAAGTTGATACAATTTTGGCGCATTTAATTGAAATGGCTCATGATGAAAAAAATAATTAAAATAGAATATTAGCAGCTGAAACTTTTGGTAAAACAGCTTCTCTCTTTTCAATTAAGTATTGTGAGTCTTATATATGTGGAGAACTTTTATCTCTTGGTATAGATTTAAATGAATTTGTAAGAGAAAAAGCTATAGAATAATTACCATATATATCAGTAAGTCTATCTTAGAAATGTATAGAATTAAAAATTGTGCCATTCTTTCTTTAGTATATAAATAATCTATTTTATTTAGATCATGTGAAGATAGACTTTTATAAATAAAATGTGCATGTATTAAATCAATTTCAGGTATTTCTAAATATGCTGGAGCTTAAATAAAGACTTAAAAATTAATTCCAAAATATTTAGATTTTTTATCTAATTAAAATAAAGAAGTTAGAAAAACAGCATATGAATATTTAGGTGAATTTATTAGTACAATAAAATTTACTGAGAATGATTAATAACAATTAGATATTCTTTTAGCATATTATTAGAATTAATTAGATAAAAATATTAATATGATGGGAGTAGATGTAAAATTGATATTTTAATAAATTATAGCTTGTTTATAAATGTGCATATTATTTTCCAGGAGTACTCTAAGCTATAGGTCGAAATCGTTGGTAATTGATTGAACCTTTATATGGATTCCTTTTAAAATATCCTTCAGATGTAAATTATTTCTCTATATTTTAATAAGAAAGTTAAAATATCATTAGCCTATAGTTTTCATGAAGTAGCTAAATTATTAGGTCCTAATTTATCTAAATAATATTTGATCAATGTTTTAGAAACACTTGCTTAAGATAAATTATAAGAAGTCAGAAATGGCATTGTAGTGAATCTATCAAAATTTATTTCAATCTTTCCTATTGAAGAAAGAGATTATGTTATTGATTTATTACTTAATTTCTAAAAGGATTAACATAAGTGGAGAACTCGTCAGATTATTTGTACATCTATATTCCCAATTACCAGATGTTTTAATAATGATACAATCTTTTTTCATATTGCCCCTATTCTATTCAAATTTTGTTCAGATACTGTTGCTAAAGTAAGATAAACAGCTGCCAAAAATGTAGTTCATTTAGTTGAAACTTTCGAAGAAGAAGGGGAATAAAGAACTGTTATTTTAGAATAAATTAGAGCATTTTCCCACTCTAAAAGATTCAATTAAAGATAATCTTATTGTTGGATGTGTTATAAATTATTTTGTAGAACTGATTTTCAAGAACTATTCTTTGAAAGACTATTTGAGTTATGTAAAGATCCTGTTTAATGTGTAAGATTATCTGCTCTCATTGTTATTGATAAATTTATTTAAAAAGAAGGTTTCTCGAAAGAACGTAAATATTTAAAATACTTATTGGTTTAATTTATTGATGATTAATGTAAAGAAATTTAATTTATTCTTACTAAATATAATTTTGTGATCTAGAAAACTAAAAAAAAGACTCTATCATGTAGATCACGTAATAGTGGATCTTCAAATGGTCATTTAGAAGACATCCCAGAATTTGATGAAAAAATTGAACAGATTCGTAAGTCTTCAGGTAAAGTTTGATTTTATTATAAATAATTTAAATTCCAACTCTTAAAATCAACCTTTATTTAAATTTTATAGAACTCTTCTCTTCAACTTAATAAAATTTATAAATTATTTAAAATTTTTTGACTTTATTCAAAATTTATGTGAATCATAAATATTAAAGATGCAATACTACTAAATAATTGCAAATATTAATTGTAATACAATTAAATCAATTTTTTAACTGAGAACTCACTCGAATTGCCTTAAATAACTTCAACTACCAAAATATCAAAAAAATTTCAATTTTTATTATTTTAATGTGAGTGTTAATTTAAATGAAATGTATAATTTTACATAAATTAAAATAAATTTTCGAATCTATCAATAAGGAAATATTCAAGCTGAACTTTAAAAAAATTAATGATATTCTTTATGCCTTTAGATTACTTATAATTTAAGGTTTGGTGAAGCCATTTTATTTGACAGAAGATTTATTAGAAACATATAATCACTCTATAATTTATTTATCTCTCTACTTAATCTATTTTAAATTAAGAACATACTAAGATTATTTTAACATACTTCATGTATCAAAATACTAAAAATTAAGATTAACAAATTTTAATATAAAAATTAAGATAGAAATATTTGAAAGATAAATAATTTTAGAGATAATACTTAGAAGGATTTAATAAATAATAAAGTTATCATCATGCCAATTATTTTTATCAAGAATTCAATATTTTATATTTTTAAGAATATCATCAATTTTGTTTGAAATAAATCTATTATTCTAATCAATATATTTGAACTAGCCATTTTTTTCTTCAAGTTCGTTAATATCTTAAAATAATTTACTTTCCAAGATTCTTTTGTTTAAAGTAAATTTGGATGAAAGAAATGTCTAGAATTATTAATATGAATCCTTCTTTTATTATGAAGTAAACAAATTCTAGACTTCAATTTCCTTATCTTAATTATAAAAAAAAATACTTAAAAGCTTAATTCTAGAAGTTTTCATAGATTCATATAATCCCAAAAATTATGATTCATGTACTTTTCGATATAAGTCTTCAAGTTTATTAAGAAATTCTGTTAATAATTAAAGGAAATTTTAATCTAATTTGTTTCTTCTAATTATTGTTCTATTATCAGAAGAATAAGTAAATTATTTGTAGATTCTTTTAAATAATTGTTCTGGAGAAACAAGTTCTTTAAGTTTAACTTAATCAAAAAGAAAAGAAAGATCTTGAAAGCGTGAATTTGATTAAATTTCTTTTTCGATTAATGAAATTAAACCTTTCTCGCTTTTATATTGTTTTAACTCATTTATTATATATGAAATCTAATTAAGGACTTACATTAAGTTAGTTTCTTTAAAAGAAATAGATCTAATTTAAGAAGAAACATCAATGCATTAACTTTACAACATAGCTCTTTTATTTGGAATAAAAGAACATAATTAACTTTTATCTTATCTAAATGATTTTCTTAAACCTATTTCAGGACTTTAATAATCTAAATTTAGTTTATTATTTAGAAGTGTTCCTAATGCTTATTAAGATTTAAGTGATTTTCTTAGTATAGATTATTAAGAGTTTTAAGAAATTTGAATAATATTATTACTTTTTACCATTGAAAAAGATTTCTTTGGGGAAAGTAATGGAAACTCTTAATTTAACCTTTCTTATGATTCTCTTTATGATTTAATCATTTCTATTTTTAATGAGAAAAGTAAAATATTTAATAATTTAATAAACAAAATTCTAATTTTATATGATTTTGTAAACATCGTAAAATTAATTATAATTTTACTCATACTTCCTAAAATTATTTGTTGTAATATCTCTTTTTTTAAATAAAGATTAATTAAATCTAAAAACAAAAATTTACTACTATTATCAAAAATTAATATAGTTATTTTAATTAATCAAAAAGAAACATTTAATAAAAATTTCAATTAATCTATCTATTTTTGTATGAAATTCAAAGTTTAATGGGATTTCACAAAATTGGAAAAATGTATTTATTTTTCGATTGTGTTTTTTTGAAATTATTATAATTATTAATTGATAATGAAATAAGATATAAATTAATATTTCATTTAAGGCTGAACATATTGCTATCTTGGTATATTTTTTTAAATTTTGTTCTAGATATTAGATTGTTACTTTTAGGAGTTAAAAATTTTGCACTTGAATGAATTTTTATTGGCTACAGTAATTATTAATATAGTTCTGTTCCTTTAATTTATCCATTTGACATCAAAGTATTTAATATTTACTCAGAACGAGTTAACAAAATTAGTTAATTTTATATTTGATTTTTTAGATTACAATTTTTTTTTTAGAATAATAATATTTCCTTAACAGGGTTTTCTTCTTTTTCATTTGTTTAAATACGTTTTTATAAACCACCTTATAAAGAAAATTTTGACTCATGTTCTTTTAATTTTTCTTATTCAAAATCATTTGCTCCTTATTAAATATTAGGTAGTGATTCTTTTATATATGGAAAAGAAGACTCTTTTTTTTCTCTATTTGAATCTCTGATTTCTTTTAATCTTGCTGTTTAATACACTAGTGGCTTTAAAGTTATTCTATCTAAAGATTTTTATTAAAGATTTCTGTTTGATAAAATTGCTTTTTAATTTAAAAATTCTATTTATTTAGTAGGAGGTTCTTTTTAATTTTAGAATTCTAGTTATTTAGTAGAAGGTTCTATTATTTAATGCTGAATATTTAAAAATTTATTATTTAACTATGAATTATCATTTTTGTCTTGAATATTTAAATTAAAAATTTTTCTATGAAACCTACTGCTACTTTAATTTTATAATTCAGATTACTTAAAGTCTAGTGATTACAGTGTTGGTTTAATTAATCTTTATTCTAATTTGTTGGATGATTTATCTTCAGATATTTATAAATTTTTTTATGTTTAAAAATACATCATCATTGAGTCTTTAAGACACTGTTATGAAATGCTAAGAGATATTAAATCATGATTTTATGGAAAATCAAAGGTTTTTGGGATAGTTTATTCTTCATTTACGTTTTGAGAAGGAATAAATTCTTGACTTTCTTAATTTTCTTTAATTTGATTCATTATTACAGACTCAAAATTTTTAACTGTCTAAAATGGAGTAACTTTTAGAGAAGGACTCTCATAATTTGTAGGATTTATAAACTTAATATTAGAATCAATGAAGATTTGATTTATTTTATTTTCATATACTTACTTAATTTAAGAACAAAATATTTTTTTGATTTCATTAAGGGAATCTTCTGTGCGATTATGTTCAGGTTTAATTTCATATTATTTGATTTTATTTTAATATTTTTTAATAGTATATTAAACCAGTGAATTTCTTTACATAAGTTTATTGAATTTATATTCGTAACCATTTTTAAATGATTCATAATTAAGAATTGGTTATATGAGATTAGAATTCATTAATTAAAAAGGAGGAATATCTTCTAAACTTGTAATACTTGATTGTAGTTCTTTATTTTAATATCTTAAAGTTGTTTTTGGGATGTGTGATTTTAAATTAAGAATTAAATAAGGTGTAATAAAGTCATTATTTTTAGGAAAGAAATATTTATCTTAAATTGTTTAAATTTAGAATAGATCTATTTTTGTATTCATAAGTTTTGACATAATAGGTTCATCTATGAGTTTTATAGATTTAGTAATTTTGGATATTTCTAAGTTGAGTCGAGTCTACTATAAAAATAATAGTTTACTCGTTGTTATTTGAATACTTCTTCTATTGTTACTCCACCAAAATTGATTTACTTTATAACATGAATAAATTTTATATGTTCTTTAATTTGTAGAGCTGAATTTGCTGGTAAGTGAAATTTGAAATAAGAAAAAGTTAAATTTGCTATTTAAAGAAAACAATTCTGAAAGTATTCTAAATCTTATTATGGCCATCTTTCTGTTTTTAGAATTCTATTTTCAGATTTTTAGTTTTTGGAATCAATTTTTTAAATATGTATTTCTTAATCATTAGCATTATCAGTTATTTGGAGCATTTTTGAAACTAATATCAGATGTTCTCTTTTTAGAAATAAAGACACTATCTTAGTTTTCATGTAAATATAAAATTATATTTAATTCTTGTAAAATAGTGAAATAAAATATTAAGTATAGTATGAGTAATATAAAAAAGAGATATAAATAGTATTAGGAAAAGAGATATAAAATATTTATAAGAATTTTTGAAAGTAGAGAATGAATAAGTCTAATTATAAAATATTAAATTAAATAAATAATTATGAGATCGAATTCAACAGCTTATACACCTCAAAATCCAGAAGTCTTCCATAAAGGACATATTCATTTCTTTGATTTATTATCGTCATTTCATGGATTGGATGATTAACCTGACTACCCTGTTTAATAATAAACAATATAGGATAAGCTAAGAAATTAATACCTTCATGATAACAATTGGGAAGATAGTAAAAACAATTTATTATCAATTAGAATTATGTTATAGAACATGCTTCAAAATTTAAGAAAAGGATTATGTACAATTCTGTTTGGATAAGAAATGCTAAGGCATTAATTATTTGAAGGCAGCTTAAGTTTTAGGTTATGTTAAAACTGGAAATCCAACACCTAAAGCACATGGACACCATCATCATTGATAAAGCATTAATACATAAACAATACATTTAACAAAATACATATATTTATGGTATTTTTTAGGAATTCATATAAAAAATATCTTTTTTGCTTATTTTATTTGAAAATGATTATTTTCATTATTTTTTATTAGATTAAAGTGATTAAATAAATGTATGATCAAATAATCATAATTAAAATTGAAATTCATAAACTTCATTTCATACTTAAGAGTTTTAATAAATTGATTTATTAATAATAATAATAATAATAATGAGTTTTATTATTTATAATAATGAGGAATATATTTAATTATTTCTATGGAACACCAGTATTCTTTTATTTTATTAATAGACTAATAAACCAAATACTGAAATTAAAGACATAAAAATGGATTCATAATATGAAACATTTATTTTTGAATTTACTTCAAATGAACATTTTCCAATTTATGAAAAATAAATAAAAGGAGAAGAACAAGAATATATAGGTTTAAATATATATAAATATTTAGATATTAAGTTATAAAGCATAGAAAATATATACTTAGATAATTATGATTAGTAATTAAAATAACCAGAATAAATTAATTTGATTGATTATATAATTTAAGAGAATGATACTTTATTTGGCCTTGAATTAAAATTTAATATTAAGTAATAAGTTCTTTAATGATTAGTTAGAATAGAATATTAAAATTAAATGATATATCTCCTGAATGTTTTGTTCCTGGAATGAGAATTAAACTCCCAAATCCATAAAATTAAGACTCTTAATTAGATTTAACAGATTCAACAGTAAATAATATAAATTAGAATTCATATTTTGGACGTATTTTGATGGATGAAATAATGTCTAAAGGATAAACAAAAAAATGTATACATCTTAATTATTAATATTGATAGTTAATGTTTATTATGTGACTAATTATGGATGTATAGAAGGAGTTTTAACAATAAATAATGATATTATTCTTTTTGATCCAAGTTTCACTGATCTTAATAAAGAAATAGTTAAAAAATGTTAAAGTAAAAATTGATTTAATTAAAGAACAAAGCATTTTAAACTTTTAAGCTTGTTTGATGACAAAAGATGTGAGATAAGTAGAATTAAATTAGATGCCTATGAGGATTGCTAAAAGTTCAAACAAATCTTTTAAAGATTACTTAATACTCATTCATGTTAATTCAAATGTAACTAGTAAAAAATTAGTTGAAATAATACCAATTTTAAGTTTTAGAGTATTTTAATTAAACTAATCTAAAGATACAAAATGATTAAAATTAAAAAGAACATATCTAATTAAGTATTGAACTCTATGAAATTCTAACTTAGGTTGTGAAAACTAAATCATAAAAAATGTTAGAGGATCAATAATAATCAAAAGAACAAAATTTAACTATAATTCCTTTCTTTGATATTTAAGATTCTTTATTTACAGATAAATTATTAAAAAGAATTAATAATATATGGGGAGCTTAAGATTATTTACCTTAGATGATGTAATAATCTAAAATTTTTGATAATGATGAATTAAATTAGGTATTTTTTATTATTTTTTATATTAAAGATTATTGCACATATTCCATCAATTTATAAAACTTCAAATTGGACTTTAATTTTTTCTAATATTATAAACGGTTCTTCATTTTAAACTTTATTACATAAATGTGAAAATAGATCTCCATTAATATTAGTTATCTAAGATGTAAATGAATGTAAATTTGGAGCTTATTTAAATGAATCTTTATAATTAACTTTTGGAAAGTTTTTTGGAAATGGAGAAACATTTTTATGGACTCTTAAAGTAATATTACAAATTTATTAAAAGTAAAATGAATTTTAAGCATTTCGATGGACAGAAACAAATAATTACTTTATTTTTTGTGAATCAGATGGATTCGCTATTGGATGTGGTGATTAATTTGGTCTTTATATTAATCAATCATTAACTACAGGGAATACAAATAAATGTGAAACATATAAAAATGATTTATTAACTGTTACTAATGATTTTAGTATAAAAACACTTGAATTATGGAGTTTGAGTGAATGAAAAACCATAAAAATTAACTTTATTTATCAATTATTATAATTCTATTTTTATTATTAAGTTTCTTTTCATTCAGTAAGTTCCAGATACAATCTCTAAACTCATATTATAATAATCTAATATCTATAGAAATTTCCAGAATTTTTTATTTATTAAACAAATATTCCAAAATATATTAATAAAACGAATTTCATTATTAATCATTATTAATCATTATTTATCAATTAATTAAGATGAAAAATTGATAAACCAAAATATTTCATTTCTTTTGATTCTTTATTACTAAATTTCATTTTAAAAAACATACATATATAAGGCTAATTTCATTTTATTGATAAAATATTTCTAATTAACTCTTTCTTGCATTTTAATTTTCTATTCTATTTTAAAAATCTGTAATATTGTAATTATTACGCATTATTTTAGAAAAATAACTTGATCAATTAGAATCTGAAAATCTATAAAATTATTTTTAAATTAATGATTTCACAATCCCCGAAGTTCAAAATAGAAAAAATGGCTCCTTTAAGTCAACACCAAAAAATACTAGTTGAAGATATACCTTTAGATGATTTAACAGAAATTGATGAAACTAAAATCTCATTTAATGAAAATTTAATTGTCTGTGATTATAAACCATGGCAGACTGTAATTTAAATAAGAAAGACAATCGAAAAATTAAAAGGACATTCTAATTTATATTGGATTAATCCCATTCTCAATGTAGGTTTAACAAATCCTTCTAGATCCATATTAAAAAAGTCTTCTATACATAAATCCAATCTTATTTTAATAAGTTGAACTATATTTATTCTATATTACAACTATTTTTATCAATGAAAATAAATTATAATAATCTATAAAGAGAAAAATATTTATTTGTGCTTACATTAACATAAAATTTAAGTTAGCCAATGAAAATTTTTTAAAGTCAAATTTTTCTTTCAATTTGATGAATTAAGTACCAAAATTTGAATGACAGAATATAAAATATCATACAAAGAAAATTAAATTTGCAATTTTTTTCTATACTGAAGACAAAGGAATCCGTTTATAATTATAACAGAAGTTTTTAAATAAAGATTAAATTATAATCAACTTTAATATCAATTTTTCTGAAATATAATATTCCATCTATATTATATTACTTAGTTATAAAGTTTTTAAAAATTAAAGAGTCCATTCAAAGATCTTAAGGTTTAACAATATTAATTGAAATTATTTTAATTCTTACAGACTTTTCTAAATGTTCAATATTATAGTTACTATTTATTCTAGTCTGATTAATCTCCCAAAAGAGATTATGATTTTATTTTTATTTAGTTTTGAAATTACTTTTGAAAGCTATGTATAACAAATACAGTACTATTTTTTATCTTTGATTAGTATTAATTTTAATTTTTTAGTACCAGATTTAATCTGTCAATGAAAGAGCTTTCCTTTTAAAAAGTTAACAATAGAAAGTAAAATTAAATTAGAAAAGCTTCAAAGGATTCATAAGAAATCAAAAGTAAATTACTTAATTATTTAATTATGTTAATAATTTTAAGAATAATCATAAATAATCAAAAAACACTTTGTAATATTGTTATAATTTATCTACTAAGTAATAAAAGACAGAAAAAATTTTATTTTCTTTAATATCAATTAGGTAAGAAAATTATCCCTTCATTAAATCTCTCTTTTCATAAGATGTTTACCATTTATTTGATTTAAGAAAATAGCTTAAGTTGAGCTTTCTTTCTTGTTCTATTTTTAAATGAAACACAATCTTTATTCTGTTTTATTATTAGTTCTATATAGTCATTTAACAAAAGTGTATATATAAATATGATATATTCAATTATATTTTATAAAAAACTTTAATTTAATATTAAAATATTAACAATTATTTTATTACTTATGATAAAGATTTTATTTTGTTATAAATTGAAAGTATATAATTTTAATCAAGATATTATCTCTTCTGAAAACTGAATAATGCATATGAAAAATTAAAATGTGTATCAAATATAATGGATATTTATTTTATAAATTTTAATAATAAGCATTTATGATATAAATTAAAATCAAATTCTAACTACTCATTTTTATAATCTTTTTCTAAGTTAGAAACTACAAGCCAGAGATTATTAGTTTAAATCTTTTTTATGTCTTTTTTAAATATGACCACCCAAAGAGCGGTATTTTTCAAATGTTTTTTTGCAATTTCCACACTAATATTGCTTTTAATTATTCTCAAAAATATAATTATTTTTTTTTGTTTTTTTTCCTTTTTCTTAAATAATAACAGGATAGAAAAGCTCATTTGAATATTCTTATTCTAACGTACAGCTTTTGAGATCTAAAAAATTAAATGGATCCTCAATATTGACTTTTTAATTTTTTTAGAGAAGAAGTTCATCATCATTTAAATAGTTCAATTCTTCCAAAAGATCCTTCAATAATTCAAGTAATTTAATGGCTGGCAATCCAACTTATTATACAAAATCAAGATTATTCATTATATTTATTAATAAAAAAATCAAAGTTCATTTTATGGTATTTATATTAATTAAAGAATCTTATTTCTATGAAATAAAATCAAAGTGCGTAACAATTATTTTGAATTGAAATGATCAAAATTTTTTTAAGATTATCTTAAGCTTTTCTTGATTGTTTAACGATTTTTTATAGATAAATTTGCTTAATACTTTTTATTGTATAAACATTTTCCTTTCAAAATGAATCTGTTGAATAAATATGTTACTTAGTTATTAAATGTTAAGCTTATGTATATTTCAGAGGTTATGCTTTATTTTTTTTCAAATATACTTATTCTAGATCTAAGTAATTATTAATTATCTTAGAAAAAGTTTGAAGAGTTACTTTTTAATAAACATTTAGCATCACTAATATAATTTTTGATAACTTATTCAAATATATTTACATTTAACAATTTCAAAATCAAAAGATTAGATTAGATTGTATTCTGATTTTTATTGTTATTCTAATTTCTTTGATAAATATTCAATGCTTATCAGATATCTATTTTATTTAGGGTAAAATTATTGTTCCTAAATAATAATCTTACCTAAATAATCACTATAATTAATTTTAATAAAAAGAGATAAAGTTATTTATTTGAAAACAATAAAAAAGAGGCAAAAAAAGTGGAACTTTTTCTTTTAAAGTATATATTGATTTTTCCTTTCAAATTCTAATAGTACCTAAGGATTTTGGATTTTAGTGATGTAAAAAATTCAAGATTTGATATAAGGAGTTTGCAATATTATTTAGGACTTAAATGAATAGAAGATTATTATGAAATACAATAGATAATGATATGATTTAAGAAAAGGTAAGATTGATTATAGGCATGAAATATTAATAATAAATTTACTATAAAGATTGAAGTTAATATTGAACTAATTCATTAATAAAAAACAATAGTAAGATTTATTTAAATAAAATGAAAGCAAAATGTTTGCAGATTTGAAACTAAAATTTGATCATATTATTTTCCTTTTATCAGCCAACTAAATCCTATCACTAAGATTTCGACTATGTTTGGTAGAAGAACAGGAAGATTACTCTGTAGATGAAGAATTTGTTTGCTAATAAAATTCGTATCCTTAGAATTGATCTAAAATAGAATATTATTTACCTTATATATTTTAATCTCTTAATATAAGAATATTGGATTAAATTAATTCATTATTTTCTTCATCTTCTATAATAATTTAGTTTTAATCAAAGTTATCATCAGTAGCCTAGAATTAATCAAAATATAAAAATACATTAGGAATGAAAGGAGGTGTTAAAGATTTATTTTATAATTTATTCCATGGAAATTAAGAAAACCATGGATGATCTCTAATTTCTTGACTTCCTGAAAATCCTAGACGATTTTAAGGTTTTCGTTGTAAAAGCTATATAAAAAAATAAAAATTACTTTGTTTATAAAATCGGCTGCATCTAAAGACCAATCATCAGGAATTTCTGTCTTCTTAATTTAAACTTATTTTGCAATGATTTAATCTCTAATTTCTTATCTAGATCTTCCTAAGTATGGTCTCTTATAAATTAATATATAAATATACTCTTCCAAGCATGAATTCATAAGCTATAACTCCTAAAGCAAAATAATCAACAGCATAAGTATGATTTTGTCTACACATAACTTCAGGAGCTAAATAATTATATTTTGTTTATCATTACCCATATATCCTGGTGTTCCACTAGTATCACTATTATTTTCTGGTTTTGCAATTCTGGCTATTCCAAAATCTGTTATATGTACATATCCTTTTTCATCAAGAACCAAATTTTCTGGTTTGATATCTCGATGAATAATTTTGTTTGAATGAATATACTCCAATCCTAGTAATATACTAGCAATGAAAAATTCTATTAAATTGATGTACATTATACTTGTAGATTATTCATTAAATCTTCTCATTTTACCTATATGATATCTTAAATCTCCTCCTTTCATATAATCCATCACTAAATAAAGATTTTCACGATCTTAATAAGCAGAATTCATATTAACGATAAAAGAATTCTTTAATTAACTTAATAATTATCTTTCATTCATTACAGAATGTACGCTTTTCTTTGTAACAATTCTATAGTTAATTATTAATATACAATGCTTTTGACATCTCTTTCATAGCAAATATTTATCCTGTTTTTTTATGTTGAACTTTCCAAACTTTTCCAAAACCACCTATTCCAATGATGAACTCAAAATTAAAAGCATTTCTGCTATACAAAGTTTCTTTATTTATTTTAGGACTTATTGATGTATGAACAACCTCTTTAAAGTTCATGAACTATTAACTTGGAAATTTAATATGTTTCTTAGGTAATTGTAATTTATTTTCAGTTGTCACTTATATATTCTCTTTCGCTTTTGCTAGCCAAACTTAAATTTATAAATTATTCACTGACTAACCTATTTTAATCATTTACTTCTGTTAATTTTGTAGGTTTCATTAATCGAGTTAGGTTACTGATATCAATCGAAGATCCTTTATGGCTATGTAAGTTTTTTAAACTATTTAATCCAGAAGCAACTGGAGAGATCCGTTAACTAGAAGGGATTATTATTGGACTTTTAAATTAAGTAACTCTATTTTGTTTAAGTTTTCGTTAACTTGTTGAATTAATTATCATTTGCTACTAATTAATATAATATTAAAGTTAAGGTTGAAGATTAAAATCAATTTATTTATCATTTAAAGTGAGTAAATTTAGAATTACCAATACAATATATTCCTATTAACTGAATTCTTTGTATAGCTAATATAAAAATATATAATTAATTTCATATTTCTATAGATATATTCAAATAATGGAATTTGAAATTATTTAAGAATAAACTGAGAATTATGATAAAAATAATGTTATCATTATTAATCTATCAATTATTAACATTAAAAATCTTCATTCAAGAAAATCTTCAACAAATAATGAAGTGAGAAAAAATATAATAAAAAATAAATCGCAAGTTAAGAACAAGAAATTAATATTATATAATTTCCAAAATTTTCTAATATCTAAAACTAAAACTATTTATAATTAATATAAGTAGATAATATTTTGATTATTTTTTTGATTTAGGATCATTAAAAGATTATTTTACAAAAATAAATAGTAGATGAAAATCTGTAAAAGTAATGTTTAATTGTTAAAATCTTGTTATGATAAATAAAAAGCTTAGAAACTTCATATAGATCGTCATTATGTTTTAATTAATTTGATTAAAAGTTTATAAATAATATTTACTATAATGATGCGTTTAAATATAAGAATAAAGTAATAATAATTAAATTATTATTACAACTTATGAAGAATTCATCATTAGAAGAAAGTATTTACATCATGATTTAAGAATTTAAATAGATTTTTGAGTAGTAATTGTTATTTAATAATATTTTATTGAATGGAAGAGACAAGAATCAAATATAGGAAAGCTTCTAAAAGCTCTAGTGTTCTTTCCATGTTAGCAATTTAAAGGGCAGATAAAACATAATCAAGTTTATAAACAATTGTGGGAATAGTAAATTCAATGGTAGGATCACTATGTTTAGTATTGCCATTAGTATTTTTGAATTATGGAGTGATATCTTGCACAATAATTATGATAATATTGGGATTTGTATAATATAATACTTGCTCATTGCTTATATTACATCTGAAAGTTAATGAAATTGATACTGAACATATGATTAAGAGAATTTTAGGAAAGCCTTGGATGCAAGCTTTCAGATTTTGTTCAGGCACTTTATTGTTCATAGTTGGGATAATATACTTCTAATTAATAAATTTAACACTTTACCCAATAATTACATATATTTTGAGCTATAATGATATTGAATTTGCAAATGCTAGTGAAGATTTCGTTTTTAATAAGTATTTATATGTAAATTATAGTATTTAAGGTATTCAATTTAATGGTAAGCCTTGATAGTCTTTCTTCCACTATCAACATTGCTATTAATCAAGGATATTACAACAATTGTTAAAATAGCACATTATGGAGTAATTGCATTATTTGCATACGGAATTTTTATTATTTATATTTTTATAGTGAATTTATGTACTGAGGATATTTCACTAAAAATAGAAACAATAACTTTATGGTCTTGGGAATTTAGTTAACCTGCTGGATAATTTGCTTTAGCTTTTATGATACATAATGCTATTGGATAATTAATGAAAAATAATGAAAAGAGAGAAAACAATTCTAGAGATTTGGCAATAGCTTATATTATAGCAGGTATGATATATGGAATTGTTGGAATATTTGGTTCAATAGGGATTCTGGTAATGCATAAATGTGACTTAGGGTTATGATAATATTTAAGATGCTTAAACAATTTTAAATTGTTTTAAGAACTCAGATATAGAGATAATTATAATAGAGAGTTTATTTTTAGTTCATCTAGTTACAGCATTTCCAATATTCAATAATATAAGCAAATATTAAATATTGGAAGTACTTTATAATAAGAGAGAACCACCAAAAATTGTTTATTGGGGCTTCAGTATTATATTTATGATACTATGTTTAACAATCTAAATTTTAAATATTCCAGTGGGTGTTGTGATTTCCTTTGATGGAGCTGTTTGTGGATTCTTATTGGTATATATAGTTCCAATAAGTTTGCATTTGAAATGTTATTAGACTTAAAATAGGATAACATTGATAGGGGATGATGATGATGAAATTGAGACTCAAAATAAATGTGTGAATCATAAAGATAAGAATTCAATTCCAATGTTTGTTAGAATTGGATTTTATACTATGATGATGGGAATAGGAATATATAATTTAATTGTATAATTTTATGATATATTTAAATCCTGATATGAAAATAAAATTAAAATATTTAATATGCTACAATTAATTAGGGTAGGAAAGAGACAGTTAGTGTGTATCCCTTCCTTTAATTATAAATTAAGAAGGCCAGCCCCCAAGATGTCAGAATACGATAAAGAAAGGATTGAATATAAAAATTTAATGAATTAGGTAGGAAATTAGTGATATCAAAGTATAGGTCAAGAATCGTCAAGGACTTTTGGGAAGAATAAACAAAAATTGAAAATCAGTATATTGATGACTATTTGGCTAAAGAAAAAGCAAAATAAGAGAGACTTGAAATTCATAGAAGAAATTAAACTGTGATCTAAACATTTAATGCAACATAATAATTCTATAAGTTATAGGATATTAGAAGGATAAGAAATGAAAGAGTCAAAAAATATTTAGTTGAATAAGACATTAAAAAAATGAATAGGCAATAAATAATTAGAGTATTAAATGAAGAATCTAAAAATTGGATTTCAGATAAGAATTCTTATGAAAAGCTTGTAGGAAACTTAATTATTCCAGATACAGTTTTAGATGAGATGTCATATTATCATGATTTATAAGAAAAAGCAATTCTTTTCGAAACAGCTTAATATGATGAAATTGATAAGTAATATAATCAATTTATAAATTAGATTGAATGATCCTAATATTTAATTAGAATGGAAGAATAGACTTGGTATGCCATTATATTAAAGAATTGTAACTTTAATCAAATTTTTAAAATAAGATAATGTATTGGGAAATTTGAAATTTGAATGGGATACTTGTTAAGCTATTATTTTAACAGATAAAAAATTAAGTGAAAAAGAAATGGCAGAATAATTAGATAAAGTAAATGGTGCATTTGAAAGTGTAATTGCATAAAAGATAGAAGAACTTGAATCAAATCCGATTAAAAGATTATAAGAAATGAATAAATAATTAATAAGATTATACAATCTTCTTGAATTATGGGATAAATATATAACAATAGTAAAAATGGATAATTCAACTGCTAAATAAATTATGTAAGCAGCAAAAGCTTAGATTAATCTATTTGAATCTGAAGGTGGAAAAGATTATATGATAACTTCTGATAATAATCTTATTGAATAAATAAATGGGAAAGGAGAAGCATTGAAAGAAGAAAAAGTTAAAGAAGAAAGAGATTATAAATATATAAGTGCAGATGAAACTCATACAGATAGTGAAGATATAGATTTAGAAAATTTATTATAAAAGAAAGAAACAAAAGATATCTATGGTGGTAGAACAACAAAAACTTATAATTTTGATACAGAAAGAATTAAAGATAAAGATAAAGAGTTTTCTAATTTAGTAGAAGATTTATTTGCTAAAGCTGAAACAAAAGCAAAAGAAGCAAATCTAGAATTTGAAGCAAATTATAGAAAGAATCCTCATTTAAAAGTATTTTATAATGACAATTTAAATACACCTAATTTACCTGATGCTAAATCAGTTTTTGAAGGAGTAGATTTAGAAGAATTATTTCCTCCTGAAATTCTCAAAGATTAAACGAAGACTCCTTATCTTGATTTCAAAAATGTAGAAGATATCGAAAATCATTATTATGAATTAGTAAGATCTTCAATTTAATTCTTTATAGAAAGCCATCTATAGTCTTAGAAAACAAGGAGAATAGAATGTTATTGTTAATCCAGATGTACAAAAATTCAATACCACAGTCACTGCTTAAACTTATAAATAAATTCTAAATAATCTTGATGTACCAGAAGAATATGCTAAATTAAAATAAGATACTCAAAAATTAGTAGATGCAGTAGGAGAGATTAAAGTTACTGATGCTGATTTCTTATTGAAGATATGGAATTATTATAATTGATGATTAATAAGAATATGTATAAAATAAAAAAAAGTAATATTCAAACATATATCCTCAAAAATCTAAATTCTGTTTAATAAATTATTTTTAATTTATTTATGATTAAAAACTATGCAAAGAAGGCTCTCCTTTAGAGGTATATGCCAATTACAGGTTCAATTTATGAGTTTTCAGAATCCTAAGATACTGAAAAGAAAAAGACAAGGCCTAAATATACCTTTGAAGAATAATAAGAAGTCAATAAATAAAAACATGGTATTTCATTCATTCTTATTTAGTTAACTTTTTATTAAAAAGAATACTGTTAAACTAATATAGATACAAACCTAATAAGGATGAAATGGTTAAAAAAATTAATTAATATTTCAATCCTAAAAAATAAAAGCCTGAATAAGAAGTCATTGAAACACAATAAACAGAAGAAGGATAAGAAGGTCAAAAACCTCATATAAGAATTCCATTTATTAGTAAGTTTACTGTATAAAGAATATTCAGGGATTATATTCAAGAAAAAAAAATCTTTAAATTCAAAAGAGATTATATTTTTTCAAAGAAAATAAGACCTTATAAACCATCAAAAAAAGATATTATTAATTAAATGAACATTGAACTTATAAATCAAAAATCAATTGCAAATCCAAATTTATTTGATAAATTTAAATAAAGACCAAGAGATTTTGAAAATTACAATCTAACTAATCTCATCATGAGATTTGATCGATTCTAACCATCATAGGTTTATCATTTATTAAAATCTCATTTTTCAAATGGTCTTTATGGATTCTTAAAAGAAGAATAATTTACGTATTTATAATTATTTATTTATAGAACTTTAATATTTAACAGACCATCTTTCTAAAATTACATTAGTTAATTACCTGAATAATTCTTTGTTAACTATCAGAAATATCTTAACTAGGATCACATTAATTAAATAATCAAAGAGATAGAATATAAAAATACTAAATTCTTACCAATTCTCAGATTTTGTGAATTAAAGAGTAAAGGTTAGTATTTTGATCATTAAGAAGCTTTTGAATAATTTCTTAAAAAAGTTCCAGAATAAGATTAATTACTTATATAATATTTCTTTTTTAATGAAAACTCTTCAAAATTACTTAATAATGAATCTTTTTTAAAAAGTATCTTAAATATATAATGGGGTGGTTAATTAAATTCAGAATCTTTAAAATAATAACTTATAACTCTCCTCAATGTAAAATTTAAGATTAATTTAAACAAAGAATTACAATTGTATTTGGCAGATTTATTTTTTGGATCTGAAACATTTGATAAAGGAATTATTGCAATTGCCTTATAATTTTTAATGTTTTAAAGATTGGCATAAGCTCATCCAATTAAAGATTTATTAGAATGTTTTAAATAAACTTTTGGAGAAGATAGATATAGATTTTATTTAGAGTAAGAATTACCTAAAATTCTATCCAATTTGAATGTTAAAACCTATTATTTATAATATTAAAAAGGTTAGATTGAATATCAGTAACACAAACCAAGTAAAAATATATTTAAAATTTAGAAAAACAACTGACTTTATAAAATTATACAAATCTTGATGGAATATTCCTAAAAGGTAAATATATTTAAGTTTCATAATTCTAAATTCGTTATAATATAAATTCCACAAATTTAATGTTCTCCTTTTAAACAATTGCTTATGATGTAAAAGAAAATGCTATAAAATAAGCAGTTTAAGAAAATTCTTCATTAATTTTAGAAAAAGAATTATCAACTTATTTTCATTATAAAAATTATAAATCTGATATAGTCAACATGGCACATGAATAAATATATTAAAAAAAACTTTATAATAAAAATCTTATTAGATATAATCTAACAAAATAATTTGCATAAAAAAAGCGAAGATTGAGAAGATTTAGACGTAAAATAGATGCTAAAAAATAATTAAATTTATTATATAAGGTTTTGAAAAAACATTAGAAAATCTAACCTTTATTATAAACAATAACTTTAGTTGAAACAGAATCTCCAAAAGCACCAGAAGGAACTGAAGAAAAACCATAAGAAACTGAAGAAAAACCTTAAGAAACAACAAGTGAAGAATAATAACCAGAAAAAACTTTAGAATAAGAAATTTTCACACTTTCAGAGGAGAAAAAATAATATAATCTTTTAAAATTAGCTAGAACTAGAACCTTTACAAAATTCTCTAAAATGTTTCACAAAATTATAATTGAAAACCGTCCTTTGATTAAAGAATATAGAGAGAAATAATTCGTTCAAAAACCAAAATCAAGTTTTTGTACCTAAAAATTTACAGAAATTTCTAAAGATGAAGGAACAGGCTTTATGAATTATTTAAAATCTGTTGAATCAATTGATTTAGAGGTTAAACAATAAGAGGAATTAAATTAACTTTAATAATAAAAAAAGCATCAATAATCAAGAAAACATGGAAAGATCCTTTTAGAATAAGGTGAAGCAGAATAACTTAAATCAATATTTTCAGAGGATAGTGAAAAGTAATTTAATTATAAATATTTATTAGTTTAATGAGAATTAGATAGGAGTAAAAAAAATAAGCAGATATGTTCTAAAAAGTAGAATAGCCATATAGATTTAAAAAAAATAAAGAAAGTGAAACAAGAGAATCTGTAAATAGATAGACATTTGAAAAAAATGAATAAGAAAAATTAATTATACCTCAATTATAAGAATAATATGTTATTGATAATTAATTGTATAATTCAGAATTAAAGGCTAAAGCTCAATTTTAGATGGAATAATTTTTCAAAGAAGAATAGTCAAAATAATAATTAATTGAAAATATTTAAACTTTTTTGAGTGGAATCAAATAGAGTGAAGATGGTTATCACCATTATTTGATATCAGAATTAATTTGGACATTAGAAAATAAAAAACCTTAAGAGGCAAGATTAATATTTACTTAAATTATTTGTTAAGTAAATAATAAGATTGAAGTAAATGAAAAGATTAAGGTTAAATATACTACATAATATGGAGAAATTGAAAAGAATTACGGTAAATACATCAATTAAACATGTACATAATTTTCAATTGGATCAAAAGGATATAATTATATATTAGATTACATTTTATAAGAAGGAAATTACAACAGATTATTATATAAGAGAGTTTTAGCTCACTATTGTCTTTATGAAACTGTTCTTTATGATTCTACATTTGAAAGAGTTGCTTAAATTACAAAGAATAACAAAATTCCTTAGACTTGTGCTGAATTCTTTTATGCATTTTAATCAACTAAGATAACAATAAATTATACATAAATGAGAAAGGTTGTTAATTTATTATATTAATTTAAACATTTTGAAGCTGAAGCAGAATAATTAATTATTGGATTTTTTTATGTGTTTTAATGGTAATTAAAATTTGAAGAATTATAACCAATATTTTAAAGATTAATAAATTACAATAAGAGAGATAGATATATGTCTTTATATGAATCTTTGAAAGATTAATTAATGGGAAGAAAACTTAGATAAATTCCAACATAAGATCCAGTAGAAGTAAATAAAATTATGACTGAATATAAATCTTTATAGAAAGAATAAATTAAATAATTTGTAAGAAAGTTTTCATAATTATTGTTGGATTCTAAATTACCTGATGATGCTAGATTAGTTATTAATGATGCTAAAAGATACAGATATTAGTATGAAATTTTAGATTATAAACTATGGATTTTATCTCATGTTAACTTTTTTGAAGATGCTTTGAAAATTTGGAATGATTATGGTATTAAATTCCCTAATGTTTATGATATTACAATGTTTAAAGCTTTCTAATAAGTTTTATAATATTAAGAGACTGCTCATGAATCAGATGACACTAAAGCATTATTTTAAGACGTTATCAGAATTTATATCTTTGAAAAGAAGATTCCCTTAGATCATGATTTAATATTTGAAATCACAAATACTTATAAAAGACTTAAAGAATTTACAAGTTATTAGAATTTCATGAAATTCTTATTAGAAATCAGATATAAATGCATACCTTCTCATAAGTTCTTATTTTATAAAATGATGAATTTTACTGAAATTGATAGTGTTAAAGAAACTATTAAAGGAATTATTGATATACTTTTTAAGGATGAGTAACATAAAAGAAAAGATTCCAAAAAACAAAAAAAAGAAGAAGAAGAAGAAGTTAATTATGATCTTGGTAACAAAGGACCAAATCCTTTACATATCTAAGATATGTCTAGAGAAGTAATTTTCATTATTAAATTTAGAATAAATTAAATAATAAGAAAAAGAAAGGTATTCTAGTAAGAGGTGGCAAAAGTAAGTTTTCTTAAATAGAAACTGATGGTTTAGCTGATAAAAATAAAGAAGAAGAAGCAAAAACTTCAAAAGATGCTAAAACAACAAAAGATGCCAAAGCAACAAAAGAATGAGCTATAAATTTAGTGTATAAATATAGTAAAATAATATGAATAAAAAACAAGAAATCATTAATTACCCTCCTGACAAAAGAATTTCTTCATACATTTTCAGTCTTAAAGCCATAATTGGAAAAGGATCTTATGGAATAGTTTATTTAGGAAAACATGAAGCTACATGTATTTAAATTTAATTTATTAGTAGAAAAATTAGTAGCCATTAAAGTTATTGATCGAAGAAATTTTGATTTTGACATACAAAACTAAGAAATAGCTATTATGAAACAATTAAATCATCCAAATATAGTTAAGCTTGTTGATTTTATTATTTCAGTTAACAACTTATATATTATTACGGAATACTGTGATGGCACTGATTTAAAAACATATCTCCAAGAAAATAGTCCATTAAGTGAAGAAACTGCTCTTAAAATTATAAAAAGCATAATTAAAGGATTAAAATATATAATTGAAAGCAATATCATACATAGAGATATAAAACCTGCAAACATTTTATTTCACAATAATGAATTGAAAATTGCTGATTTTGGTTTCTCAAGAAGAATTAATACTACTATGACATCAATAGTTGGAACTCCTATTTATATGGCTCCTTAAATTCTATTCAAATAAGAGTATTCTTCTAAATGTGATATATGGTCTCTTGGAATAATTTTCTTTGAATTATTGTTTGGAAAATTACCTTGGTTTGCTAATGATATTATTGATCTATTAGATAAGATATAAAATCAATCATTAATTATACCAAAATAACCAAAAATTAGTTTAAAATCTACAAAATTTTTATCAGGATGTTTAGAAAAAGAAGAAAAAAATAGATTTAATTGGATTGAAATCTTTGAATTCTTTAATTCTAAAGAAAACTTGAAAATTTAAATTAGTTCTTTTCATGAAAATAATTAAAGTTTTGAAAATAAAACATAAAGAATTTATTATTTTAATAAAACTTTCAGAGAGAGAACTAATTCTAGTAAATTTCATTATATTAAATCAAATGATTCTATAGAAAATTAAACAATATCCTAAACTAGAAGAAAAGACGAATCAAAAACTATTTTACAAAATCAAGATTTATTAAATATGAGGAGAACATAATCTAAATTTGAAAATCTAAAATAAAATTAGAATTCGACTGTTTTATTCAAAAAACATTATATTTCTTATGCTTAAATTATATCAAAAATTCAATAACTAACAGTTTAAGATTATATAAAACCATAAATAAGTAAATCTACATTTAAGAAAAAAAATTCGAATATATTAAAAATTATTGAATATAACAATTTCCTTAGTAATGAAGCATATAAAAAGGGATATCACAATCTATTTACTATCTTGTAGAATTAACGATCAAAATTATTCATTAAATAAATTAATTTAGAAAAAGAGATTAATAAAATTGAAGATTGGATGAAATTATCTGTTGATTCATCATTTAAAAAGAAAATGGAATTCTACATAAAATAGCTTAAACGATAGGCATAGTCTAAAGAAAATGAAATCAATAGATTAGGAAATTTTTATTCTAATTGATGAACTAATAGAAATATATACTATAAGTATTACAAATAAACATATATTGTTATTTATATAAATATACAAACTTCTAAGATTATTCAATTTTATTTTTTATCATCAATTCTACCAATTACTGGATATCTCTAATAGAAATAACTAAACCAACTATTCATATTTGCTATTTCATCTTCTGGTTATGTAACAGTGCCATATTGATCTAAAAATTCATCTGTTAAATTCATTTTCCCCAATGATATCGATATATCATGTCCTGCAAATACTCCATAAGGACCATCAGGCTTATAAGAATCTAATTTAAATAATTTTGATTACCTGAGTTTGATACATCAAATACAAAATTCTTAATTGCTATAAATATTTTTTTACCATTTTACCCATTATTTTATTATACATCATTTAATGTCATGATTTTTAAGGATGCAATTTCTTATTTTATATTAAAATTCTTTACCTAATTTTTCTGGATTTGGAGAACTTTGAGCTTATACTTCATTTTATGATTATTGTGTATTTTTTTCTGCTCTTTTTATACTGCTTCTATAATCTAAAATCTAATAGACTACGTAAATAGCAACCAAGATTATTGAACCAATTATAAATTATTATATGGATATACTTTCCATAAAGTTATTATTAAAAATTATTCAAAATATTTTTTTTGGATGAACAAAATTTAAATAATCTACTTTTTCCTTTTTAACTTCTAGACTTTCATTAATTTTAAGATTCTTCAATAAAGAATCTGTAGATTTAAATCTAGATTAATTATTTAATGGCTCTTTTGAAGTTTAATATTTTTAGACTTTTTTGAATGAAGCTTAAATAAGCTATTGAACTTGTCTTGCCTTTTTATCGGGATTATTAGATTTGTAAGCTTCTTGATACATTAAGGAAAGTACTAAATTGTCTTAAGGCACTTTTGGTAATCTTGTTATAGAATCTAGAACTTGATCTAAATTCATTTAAGGTAGTATTTTATTAGGACTTATACTAGGTAATTTAGCATGAAAAGAGAATTTTTCATCCTTTCTTTATCTTAATTTAGGAACTACTCTCTCATCAATGTATGTACTTAATAATTTAAGTATTTAAATACTGTTCTCTAATTTATTTAGTCTCTGATTCAAAATTTTGATTTCCAAATTTCTTTAATTTCTATTACTATTATTGAAGAGCATTACTAAAAACTCTCTATCCTTTTTCTTCCATTAATAATTCACAAGAATCATCATTTATTATTCCTGATTCTGTTATATTTTGAAATACTTTAACTTAACTCATATTATGATTAGATGAATGATACTTTTTCCTTTTCTATGATGTTCTTTTTTTCTCAACATGTAAATAAGCCTATATTAAATGGTACTATTACATAATTTTTATCATTTATTTATGTTATTGCAGATTAATAAATTAAATTCCAATGTTAATAAATTGTTTTTGATTTTTTCTTCATATTTTCATACACTAAAAAATTTCCTAAATTATTAAAGAACTTATTTTTTCTTATTTTATAAACATTCAATCTAGGTGATATAACTCTAGCTTTTGTGAATCTATGAACCTTATTCAAAATTTCAACTTCTCCAAATTATTAATATTCTCCATAAGAGGATAGAACTAGATTTTTATCTTCTATTTTTTTAGAAAGTTCAACTTCTCCATTTATTATAAAATATAAATAACTTGATTTGTTTCCTTCATCATATATAATTTCTCCTGCTTTATATGTTATTTTATGACATTCTAATAAAATTCCCATAATTTCATTTAAATCAGAATCACCAGTTGAAAAAAGTATATTTTTTTTAAAATATTTTATTTTTTCTTCCAATGCTTCACTTAAGTATGGATCCAATAATTAAACATATGCAGCCTCACTCATATATAAAAGATGAGTATTTTCTACTGCAATGACTGTTGAAGCTCTTGAACTTTCTAATTTGATCGCAACTTCTCCAAATGAACTATCAAAATTTCAATTAATATTATACTCTCCTGAAAAAAGCATTTTCATTATCATATAATCTGGAAATAAATTCTTTAATCCATAGGGATCAACAATTTATTTATTTTCTTTTTCTAACTCAATTTATAAACTTTGCATTCCTACCATCTTTTCCTTAGGTTTCATTACTGCACATCTTCCATCAAGTATTATATAAAAATATTTATTTTAGTCTCCCTATCTATACACTAAATTATATCCTGGACAATATTAATATCTAACTTCCATTTAATTAGATACCTTAACTAAGTATATACTTTATGCATTATTTCAGGTGGAATTTATTCTTTCATATTCCTGATAGCTTTTACTTATCCTAACTATTCAATTAATATTGGAGAAGTTGGAATGAAAGTATTCGACAATGATCTCACATTTGGTCTCTAAAATTATTTACTATATTTTTTTTGTTAATCATTAAAGGTTATTGGTGGCAAATGATTTAATTCAGATTTTATTAACTCAATATCAATATTTTTCTTCTATTTTTTATAATCCTTATTATTCATTAATAACAATGATTAACATGCTTCATCCTCTTCAGAATCTGAGTTTGCCTATTGTTTAGTAAAATCAATCAATTATTTATCTGAAATAGTAAACTAGGATTGAGTATATGAACTCATTAATTCTCTATATATGAATTAAAATGTATTATAACTTTTTCTAATATATTATTATTTATTTCACATTTATTTTTAAATGTTTTCTGCAGATTTTCCTATATTTTAACTAACATTTTAATTATCTTTTAAGAAACCTCTAAGTTCNAAAGTTCAACTTCTCCATTTATTATAAAATATAAATAACTTGATTTGTTTCCTTCATCATATATAATTTCTCCTGCTTTATATGTTATTTTATGACATTCTAATAAAATTCCCATAATTTCATTTAAATCAGAATCACCAGTTGAAAAAAGTATATTTTTTTTAAAATATTTTATTTTTTCTTCCAATGCTTCACTTAAGTATGGATCCAATAATTAAACATATGCAGCCTCACTCATATATAAAAGATGAGTATTTTCTACTGCAATGACTGTTGAAGCTCTTGAACTTTCTAATTTGATCGCAACTTCTCCAAATGAACTATCAAAATTTCAATTAATATTATACTCTCCTGAAAAAAGCATTTTCATTATCATATAATCTGGAAATAAATTCTTTAATCCATAGGGATCAACAATTTATTTATTTTCTTTTTCTAACTCAATTTATAAACTTTGCATTCCTACCATCTTTTCCTTAGGTTTCATTACTGCACATCTTCCATCAAGTATTATATAAAAATATTTATTTTAGTCTCCCTATCTATACACTAAATTATATCCTGGACAATATTAATATCTAACTTCCATTTAATTAGATACCTTAACTAAGTATATACTTTATGCATTATTTCAGGTGGAATTTATTCTTTCATATTCCTGATAGCTTTTACTTATCCTAACTATTCAATTAATATTGGAGAAGTTGGAATGAAAGTATTCGACAATGATCTCACATTTGGTCTCTAAAATTATTTACTATATTTTTTTTGTTAATCATTAAAGGTTATTGGTGGCAAATGATTTAATTCAGATTTTATTAACTCAATATCAATATTTTTCTTCTATTTTTTATAATCCTTATTATTCATTAATAACAATGATTAACATGCTTCATCCTCTTCAGAATCTGAGTTTGCCTATTGTTTAGTAAAATCAATCAATTATTTATCTGAAATAGTAAACTAGGATTGAGTATATGAACTCATTAATTCTCTATATATGAATTAAAATGTATTATAACTTTTTCTAATATATTATTATTTATTTCACATTTATTTTTAAATGTTTTCTGCAGATTTTCCTATATTTTAACTAACATTTTAATTATCTTTTAAGAAACCTCTAAGTTCTTATTAAAAACTAAATCAAAGTAAGGCACAATATAATTTATATGAATTTTCAATTAATAAAAAATATTTATTTTTATTTAAATCAGAAGTACTTTTTTGAGCAAAATTCATTATTTAAATTAAATGGAAAGATAACCAATCTCATTAGTGTTCTTTATATTTTATTTTTATATTAACTTAGATGGATAAAGTATCGGTTTTTATTGAATTTATATATATATTTTTAAGAAAATTCAAATTTTTAACAGTTAGTCATAATTTATGAATCGAATAGGATTGTTATTAACATCTATCAGATATATGATTAGGTTCTTGTTTAGTTAATCTTAATAATTAAGAATGTAAATTTATTTTAACTAAATAAAAATTATAAATATAGATAATAATCAGAATAGAATTAAGAATATGAAAAATTACAGTGTATAATTTTAAAAGTTCATCTTATTATTTGCTTAATGGATACATTGTATATTTATTTTTTAGTTTATTTTTGTTCATATTTATTGAAGAGCTTTTGTTTTAAATAAAAACGGAATATATAATTTATAATAATGTCAGGATACTAAAGAACTTATTAAAGTTCTTTCACATCTTAACGATTCACATCAGAATCAATATAAAAGGAATTAAACGTTCCTGGATATGAAACAAGAGTGAGATATAAGTATTAGACTTAATTATTATAGAAATGATTTAGGGAAAAGATAGAATCAGGAATTAGATATTGCTTGCTTTTTGATGGCAGTAGAAATAGAAAGACTAGTTAGAGAAAATACATAATTGAAATAGGAAATCTAAAATTTTATAGACTCTGGATTAGATAGAGTGAATTATGAGATGTAAATAAGGGATTTAATGGAAAAATTAAAAAATCAAACATCGTATTATTTCATATAATTCATCATTTTAGTGAAATAAATAACTATTCTGAAGAGCATGAAAGACTAGTAATAATAATTAGAGAATTAGAGGATGAAGTTGGAAGACTTGAAGAGCAACTCAAAGATTATGATCCTAATTGGAGGAAATCTTAGAGAGATTTAGAATTGCAATTATAATTATAAAAAAAACTTTTTGGAGGCAAAGCGCCAGAAGAAATTTCAAAAGAATTAGAAGAACTTAGAAAAAAGGCTAAGATTTTTGATGATTTATAAAAGAAAATAGGTGCTAAATCTCCAGGTATCTTAATTTAGTTATATTTTAGATGATTTATTAAAAGAATTAGAAAACTTGAAAAAAAAAGCATAATAATTTGATGATATAAATAAAAAATTAAATGGAAAAAATTTTTCAGATTTAGAAAAAGAATTAGAAAAATTGAAATAAAAAGCTGATAAATTTGATGAAATTAGCAAATAATTCTCAAATCCATGTAATTGAATTTTTTTTAAAGTTATAATAGCTGATATTCAAAAAGAGCTTGATTAATTAAAAAAAAAGGCTGCAGAGTTGGATAAAATAAAAATGTCATTAAATAATTAAAATCCTGATTAATTATTAAAGAGCTTAGATGAAAATAAAAAATAATTATAATCTAAAGATAAAGAAATTGGAGATTTAAAGGTATAATATAATAAATAAAATATCAGAGACTTTTATCTGAATTACAATAAAATAAAGGTTCATATGATGATGAAATCAGAAAATTGTAATTAAAAATAGATGAATTAGAAGAAAAAGTAGTTGGTTTAGCTTAAGAATTATCTAGATATAAAATGTTATAAAAAGCAAAAGAAGATGAGTTTAATAAATTATAATTATTATTAAGAGATAATGAAACAAAACTAGCATAATTAAACAATGATTTACAAAGATCTAAAAATGATTTATAAAGAGCATAAGGTGATTTATAAAGGGCATAAGGAGATTTAAAAAAAGCTTAAAATGATTTATCGAAATCTTAATAAGAGAATTAAAATTTGAAGTAACATGTTGATGATTTAAGAATATAAAATTAAGAATTAGTATAGGAAAATAATAATTTATAATAAGATTTGGAAAATCAAACATAAAATTTAGGATAACTTGATGAGATTAAAGATTAATTACATGAACTATAAGATGAGAAAAACTAATTAAATGACAAGGTTTCTGATTTACAAAATAATTTAAAGGAAAAATAAAGATTATTTGATTAAAAATAATAAGAATTATAAGATGCATTAAAAAGAATAAAAGATCTTGAAGCTAAATTGATAGAAATGGATAATTATATTGATACATTAGAAGATGACTTATAAAAGTTTGAAAAAGATAATCAATAATTAAATAGAGAAGCCGGTTAAAAGTAATTAGCAGACAGAGAATTAGAGAGATTAAGAGGATTGTTAGATCAAATGAAAAACTAATATGATTAATAGCAAAAAGAGTTAGGAAAGCTTAGAAACAATCTTGATTAGATGAGAGATTTGTAAGATGAGTTAGCATAAGCAAAATCAGAATTAGATAGAGCAAATTCAATAATTGCTTAATAATAGGATGAATTAGCTCAAAAAGAAAACGAAATTTCATAATTAGTTAGAGAAGTCTAAAATTTAGAGGAATCTAATAATTAATTAATAGATAAGAATAATAATCTTTAATAAACATTACAAGAATAATAAGCAGTAACTAATGGAAATTAAGAAGAATTATCAAAATTAAGAAGAATAGCAGAAGATTATAAGGAAAAGATTAGATAATTAGATTAAAAGTTTAATGAATATTCAAATATGGAAGACAAACTAAAGTAATCAGATCATAGAATAGCTGTTTTAATGACTGAAATAGAGAGATTAAATTCATTAGTAAAATAAATAACTTCTGAAACTGAAGATTGGAAATAAAAACATTCAAGAATAGAATTGGCTCTTTTAGAGTATAGATAGATTGAAAAAACTAATCGAGATGCTGTAAATAAAAATTAATCATTTATAAATGAAATTGAAAGATTAAAGAAATTATTAGAAGCAAAGCATATAGAATTATTATAAACAATTGAAAGATGTGATTTATTAGAATCTTAATAATAAACATTGATGAATTAAGTTTAGGATGCTTTAAAGAAAGCTGATACAGGAGATAATGTATTGCTTTCATATTTGTTAATTGCAGCAGAAAATGAAAGATTATCAGCTGTTTTATAACCTATTTAAGAAAAATTTAATTAAGTGACACTTCAAGTAAAAGAAATGTCAGTTAAATATGCTGAATTATAAAATAAAACTTTGGGAATTGATTTAGATGAGTATGAAAGATTAAAAAAATTAGTAATTGAATATGAAAATAAAATTGCTATGCTCTCTCTAGAAATTTAAAGATTAAAAGCAAAAACTAATATTGTTGATAAAAATAATAATGGATTATAAGGTAATTTTGGTAGCAATAATAATTTAATTATGTAATATAATAGTTCTATGTTCTAATCTAATGAAGATTTATCTAATAAAATTACTGATTTATTATGTTTGATTGTAATGATGTCAGCAGAGTTGGATGTCTTAAGAAGTAACAATGAAAAATAGATTTAATAATAAATAGTAAATTCATATAGATAAAATAATGAAGTTACAAATGTGTAAGCAATTCAATCAGTTGAAACTACATCAGGCTTTTCTTATTAGAGAGTTTCCTCGAACAGAAAGTATTGAAAATATTTGCATTAAATTTTAATATCATAAATAAAAATAATATATTAATTATTACATATTTACAATATAAGATTTCGTTATTTCAAAATAATATTTTTTTTTAAGCTGATTATGATTTCAATATTAGAAATCAACTTTCTTAAAATAAATTAAATTTGTTCACTGTTGGATGATAGTATAGATAATAGTTGTATGAGTAATACTTTATTTTTATTTAATACATTAATTATTATGACATTCTATTATTATATGTCAAGAAAATAAAATAATTCATATTTTTTGTTATTTTTGAGTGAATTAATTTATTTAATAATGTGAATATATAATTGAAATTTATTCGATTCTGTTTAATAAGAACTAGTATGCTTTCGATGTTGTTATTTGAAGTTCTTAAATTTAAGAGAATAATTTAAAAAATAAAAGTTGAATTAGATATTGAAGTAGAGTAATGTGATATAGGAATTGATGAATGAGATTATAAATTTATGTTTAAATGATGCAAAAATGGAATACAAATATTTAAGATTAATGTTTTGAGTTAACAAATATATTATCTTTTAGTATATATGATTTATTATTAGAGAATGATATGTATAATTTCTTTAGAGATTTAATTAAATAATTAGATCAATTAGATTATAATTTTATTTTAATTTCAAATTCAAAATGTCTTTTCTTCAATACCCACCTGACAAGAAAATCTAGAATTACTAATTTAGTTTCAAGGCAAAAGTAGGAAAAGGTGCTTATGGAACAGTTTATGCAGGAAAGAATATGAATGATAGTAAAATAATTAATTATATTAAATTTAGATAAGATTGTGGCTTTGAAAATAATAGATAAGAAAATATTATAGACAGACTATGCGAATTAATTGATAGCTTCAGAAATTGAGATAATGAAACTAATTGAAGATAAAAATATTGTTAAATTAATTGATGTATTGTAAAGTGTGAATAATACATACATAATCACTGAGTATTGTAATGGAGGAGATTTAAGAGAGTATTTAAAAAAGAGAAAGTAATAATTAATATTATGTGTTAGATTAATCTCAGAAATAGATGCGATGAATATATTTAGAGATTTGCTTCATGGCATAAAGGCATTATTAAAAATAGGAATAATACATAGAGATATAAAACCAGCAAATATAATGATACATGATGGAGAATTCAAAATAACTGATTTTGGATTTGCTAAATAAGTGGATTCACATATTGATGCAATCATGAATTCTTTGGTTGGAACTCCTCTTTATATGAGTCCATAAATATTGAAGAGATAATCATATACTTCTAAATGCGATATATGGTCTCTAGGTTTAATATTATATGAAATGCTTTATGGTATAACACCTTGGCATTCTTCTAACCTAGTTGAATTAATGACTAAATTAGATACTAAAGTATTTTCATTCTTATATTTAAAGCCTTTAGAATTCCCTTCCTTTCCTAAAGTAAGTGATTAGACCAAATTTATCATTAAAAATTGTCTATAAATCAATGAAGAGAAAAGAATTTCATGGGATACTCTTTTTGATTTAGTCGATATTTAAGAACAACCTATTATTTATAACCACAGCATTTTACCAATAATTTAAAAAAACTCTGCTCAATAAAACTCTACTCAATATCAAAGTCAATAAAATTAATAAAATAATGCAACCTAAGAAAATGTAAGTTTCATTGAAAAAAGATCTAATCAAAGAACTAAATAAAGAACTGAAAGTATGGGAAATGGTAATTTTGTCAGTCGTCATAATAGAAGCTTAAGTAATGCCAAAAATCATGATAAAGATAAATCAGATGAAAGATAAAAAGTTAAATGTACTACTCCTAAATTATCATACTTATAAAAAGTCACACCATAAAGATAAACTGTTACTCTAACATAAGAATCTGAAAGAGATAGAAGTAATTCAATAATCAAATTCGCCAATAAAAAACTCAGTCTTATGAAATATCTAGAAAATATGCATACAACTTCTCAAGAATAAAAAGATAGTAAGGAATAAAACAACAAATCACCAAGCTATTTATAATCTAATTCAACTACTAATACTTCTAATCGACATAATCTAGAATCAGATAACTCATCTAATAAAACTAAAGTGACTGAATTTTAAATTGAAGAAAAATAAAGAGAACCTATCAATAATATTATTAATAATGGCTATTACAATTCAGGATAAAATTTAAAATTAAAAAGAACTTTTAGCAATAATTTTAAGGAAAATAGTTTATCTCCTATGAATTAAAATTAAAATAGCATATAGTAACTATTAAAATTAATATAAAACCAATATGATCTCATACCTAGCCATTTTGCTATAAAAAAATAAATTGAATAAATAATTAATTAACATAAAACTATGATAATGTAAGTTAAAGACTTATAATATTCATAAGAAGATTCTTAAGATTTAAAAAAAATAATTAATAGACTCATTGATTATTTAAATGAACATCCTAATGATAATTTTGCTATTTAATTATCAGTTATGTTATTATTGATTCTGAACTATAATTAAGTAGTCAATTTTTGCTTATAATAAAAATCCACATAATTATCAAGATCAATAATAGATTTAATTAAATAAAATTAAAGTATCTAATAAAAACAATTAATTTTAAATCCAGCATTTTTAAGAGAAAATATAAATAAATAACTTTCATGAGTTACTTGAGTTAATTATTATTTTGTTTTTTTTTTGTAAAGAATATAACTAAAATGCAATAAAATCAATAGGGTTAAGCAGAACACTTAAGTATATAGAAATTACAATAATTCTTGCAAGGACTGAATAAGTCAATATTAAAATAGGGTTTATAAGCAAATTTGTAAACAATATCAAATAATTTGGATGCTGCAGCAAATGAAATAGGGTTCTTATTGCAATCAAGAGATTTGAATGAGTTTAGTCATATAGTGAATAAATTATCATCAGTTTGGAAAGAATTATACAAAACTGTTTATAATAGTAAAATGGTTAATGAGTTCGATAACGAACCGAGTGATTATTAATAAAAATTGGAATTGATATCATAAGCAAAAAGATAAATGAAAGATGGGATAGGTGAAATAGGTTAATTTGGAGGAGTAAGAGTATCAGCTTATCAGACTCCTTAGACAAAAAATCAGATGAAATAAATGAGTAGATAGTAAACAGGTTTACCTTCAATATCTGGTTAACCTTAAACAGAATAGAAGCATAAAACTAATTATGAAATAGATGATAATTAAAGAGAGATTTTATAAGAAGTGTTAAGATAAGGCAATAAATTGAATGTATAAATAGTAATGAAACGTTATGATCCAAAAATAACATTGATGTTAAGTGAAGGAACAGATACTAACTTAGATATTTAAGAAGCAATTAGAGGATTTAATAGGGATTATTTAGAAATTAAATTATAAGAGATTACTAAAGAAAATTTAAAAAATTTAGAAGAGATCTAAAAAGTAATGCAAGAAAAACATGAGTATATTTAACTTAATGAATCATCAGCTACTGATAAACTTAAATCGATTTATAAAACAATCTATACTAAAACAACTGAAATGGATTAATTAATGGTTGAGGCTTCAAAATAGGAACCTTAAATTGCTAAAGATATTTTAGATGAATTTCTTCATCATGTTACACATAATTATAAAGATATATAATCAGAAACATTTAAGATTGTTGCTAAATTGTTTTAATAAATTTAATAAAAATAAAAATAAGATGAATTATTAAAAAGCAGAACTTTGTAAGTATAATAACCATAACATAAAAAAGATAAATTAAGTTCATCTAAAAGAGGTAATTAAAGTTCAGCTGATGAATCTCAAATAGGTGATAAGATTAGATAAGAATTAATAGAGAAAAAGTTAGAAGTAGATAAAAAGAATTAAGAAATCTTAGAATTATAAAATAAAGTTAGATAAGCAGAAACTTAGTATATTTAAACAGCTTTAGAATTAGAATCAATGAAACTTAATGTAAGTAGATCAGAATAAGATAAAGCTTAATTAAATTATGAATTTAAGAAAATGGAAAAGTAACTAACATCTTTGAATTCTAAAAACTTTCAAGATTAAGCTATTTAATGTACTGATCTTGGCTAATAAAACTTAATTTAAAAGTTATAAAAAGATAATCAATAATTTTAATAAAAAGTATATCAACTTAAAAATGAATTAAATAAAATTAGTCCAAGTTCAGGAAGGGAATTAAAATAATAAAATACAGAATTTTAAGATAAAAGTGATGATTAAAATATTCAATATTCATAAAATGGAACACCTAGATAAACTAGTAGATATAAATCTGCTTATGATTTTGAAAATTAATAATATGAAGATGGTTTCTCAATTGATTAAAGATTAGATTCTTCATAATAAATGTATAAAAATAGTGAAATATCAAATAGAGAAAGATTGGATGATATGGGATTTGAAAGATCTCCTACACATTCTAATACAGTTAAAGCAAGTTAAAAAATTAAAAAAACTTCAACTCAAATTGAAACAAGGTAAATAAATAGTCCTTAATCTAATTCTGAAAGATCTGTTAAAGTATCTTTATAAGTAAATTAAACCAATTTTAATCCAAAGAAAAAAAAATAAAAATCTATTCTTAAAATAGAAGAGGAAGATTCTACATTAAATTAATCAGCTGAACTACAAAAACAAAAAATTAAAAAGCAATCTTTTTCCAATAAAGTTACAAGAAGACAAACTACTTTAGAAGTAGCTTCTAAAGATTTTTTTTTAAATTAAAATTCAATTAAAGATTAAGATGAAACATAAACAGCTACTAATTTTGAAACTTAAAGAACATAATCTGGATAAGCTATTAATAAACCTAAAAGAATTAAATCAGTAGATAAAAAGAATAATGTAAATGGAAGAAGAATTTAAACAGAAGGTTAGGAACAAATTTTAGAGAGTGAAGATAGTTAATCTGAGAATGGTAATTCTAAAGTTAAGTTTTCAAGAAGTACAACATAAAAGGATTAAAAAAAATAGACTATTAAAAAAGTATAGTAATAAACTTCAAGTAGAAATATGCAAGCAAAAAAATCTGTTGATATTTAAATGATAGATACTGTTGAAGAAATTCCATCAAATATTACATCCTAATAAAGTTTAGATAAATTTAGCTTAAAATAATCTAATACTATAGAAGAAGTAGATGAATAAGTAAAACATAAAAAAGACTACTTGAAATTTAATGGTGCCTCTCCTATAAAAAGATCCAGTACATCAGTACCATAATAATTATAAATGATCATAAAATTGAATGATGAAGATTAGCAGTAATTTACAACTTATTGGCATTAAAGTAAAATTTTAAATTTATATTTAGGACATATTGATTAAGAAACATAGACTGAAAATTATCTATTGATGTAATTGTTATAAAGTACAATCTCTTAATTAGATCTTCCTATGAATATTAAATAAAATATGATTTAATAATTACCAAAGAAGTTAGAAACAGCAGTTGCAATAGCATTGAATTAAAGCCAAATTATACATCAAACAGGAAATTAAAGTTCAGAATATTTGTAATAATTGGAAATCACATCTCATCATAGTTCTCGTCAATCTTAAGAATCATTTAGATAAAAATAAATTAGAAATTAAAGATCACTTGATTCTTAGGGCAAATAAAAATTATAAACATTATTAGATTTGAATTAATTTGAGCCAATTTAAACAAAAACTAGTTTAGATAGTAAAATAGGTTAGTTAACTTAAAAGAATTCAGTTGAAATACATGATCAAGGTAACTCTGAAAAAAGTGAAATTTTTTTGAAATCTAAAGGAGAATTAGAAAAATAGTTTTAGTAATAATAAGAATAAGTTTTAAGAATGGAAGAGTTATTAAAAACTGAAGATGAAGATTTGGGATATGAAGAATTAGCAAAATAAATAATAGCTAACGAAAATAGTGGTTAACCTTTAGAATAATTTAAACAAAATGATCTCTAATCTGAAAATTTTATGAAAAGACTTCATAATACTATGATAAATTAAAAAACAAAAGGGGCTGCAGCTATTTAAGATATGTTAAAACGATTCTATAAGAAAAATCCAAAAGATTAAGTCACTTATTAAGAATTTAAAGGATTTTATTAAAAAGTATTTGCAGCTCATAAACAATGTGGTTTTAATATTGTTTGTAGTCATTTATAGAGATTTATAATGAAATTAGGATTTACATGTACATTATTTTCGAAACGAAAAGTATTTATTTAGCTGATTTATATTAGTTATTGAAGACTTCTCTATCAATTCTTAAGCCTTTTAATCCTTTGAATGAAACAAAATAAAAATTAGTGAATCAATCAACCACTAATTAGAATTCAGCTAAATTCTAAACTAATTAACATTTTTCTGTTGATTAATGATTTTTAATAAAATAGAACTTACAAATAATTATCAATCAAAGATTACTCCTTCTTTTTCATTAATTTCTTATTAAATTCTACTAAAATGAATAAATATTTATTCAAGAGAACTAAGATTAAGTTTATATTGTACCTTTCATTAATTTAGAAATCTTCGATGATACCGTTTTATATTAATGTTTCAAAATATTAAAACGTCTTATAAAAGCTAAAACTTGAGTTATTAATTGAAAACGTCATAAATCCTGTTCTTTTATCATCTAATTTATTGATAGAGGGAAATTCTTATTGAATAGAATTTTGAATATTTTAAACTTAACTTTCTTCAACATAATTAAATTTAATGGATATTTAATAGCCTTTACTATATTTTCTAAAAATAATTAATTATAAATTTACTATCTCAAATATTAAGGAGTTCCTAAACATTTGAATTAGCCAGCTATTAAAATTCCTAGTCTTTAACTTAAACTTTCTGCCTCTTCTATAGTATGTGTAGTCATAATAGCAGAACAATTTCTTAATTGAATATTTCTTTAAAGAGTATTAAACAAAAACCTTCTTGATATTGGATCTACACCAGTACTAGGTTCATCAAAAAAAGTAATATCACTACCTCCAATTAAAGCATCAGCAACACATAATTTTCTTTTATTTCCACCACTTAATTGTCCAGCTTTAGTTTTTACAAATAAATCAAGTTACATAGTTTTAATGTAATAATTAACAGCTAATCGTAAATCATTTCCTTGTAATCCTTTAATTCTTCCAAATAATTATAAATGTTCTATTGGAGTTAAATTTTCCCAAATACAATCAAATTATGGACATATACCAACATGTTACATTATTTCTTAATTTCTTTATTTAGGTTCAACACCATTAATAAGAGCGACACCTTTACTAGGTGTGTTAATACCTGTGAATACATTTATTAAAGTTGATTTTCCAGCACCATTTGGACCAATTATTCCAAAAATTTCACCTTTTTTGACTGCAAAAGTCAATTACTAAAGTGTAGGTTTATCTTTTATATATTCTTTCTCTAAATCTTTACATATAATAGGATCTTAAATATTTCCTTATTCTATTCTTAATCTTTCATCAATTATTTCTTACTCTAAATTTTCATTCTATTATTGTTTCTTTTCTTAATTTGTTGCAATTGTCAATATAAAACTTTTAGATTCAATTAAATATAGTATTATTATTTAGACAATTATTTAGGCTAATAAAATTAATTAAAATGCATATGTTCTTTAAATTAATTAAGGTGTATTATATAAATTGAGATCATATATTTTTTAAAAGTTATCAGCTAAAAATGTACAAGCTTCAAAAAATGCATAAAAAGGAGAAACAAGAACAAAAAAAACTTATAATATATATATTAATTGTTCAGCAATTGCACTATCAAATTTTTTATAAAAAAAATCTATAAATGCTATAAGGATAAATGGAACACAGAAATTTACGAAAAAACAAAACATAGAATAAAGTTTTAAGGCATTTTCTAAAGTTTTGAATAAAAATCCCATAAGATATGCAAAAAGTATATAACTAAATCCAAAAAGTAAATAACAAGATAAACCAGCTCCTAAATATTTAAATGCAATATCTAAATTAAGTATGGCTGATATGATGTAAAATAGTACCACAAAACATAAATAGATAGTATAATCAAATATTAATGTTCCTACCCAATATGGTAATGTTCTACAACCCATACCTATTAAAGCTTATTTAAGATATGTTTCTTTTTCTAATACTGGTTATGTAATATAAACAGTAGCATTAAAACAAAATGCTAAAACACTGCAACTACTTAATAAAGATATTTTAAAAAATTCAACAGCTTCAGTTAAATTATCATGATTCATATCTGGAAAAACATTTTTTAAAATTTCATCGAAATCAACTCCAGCTACAGTTGTCATTCCTAATATAAATGTAAGCATAGGAATTAAAATTGAGAAATAATTAGTACTTGTTCTTATAACAGTATAATATCTTCTTAAAAATATTGCTAACAATTATGAACTAAGTTTATATTGTGGATCATTTTTAAGACAATCTGGAATATTTTAATTAAATGCTTTTTCTTCTGTAAATTCTTAAATTATTGGAAGACTATTAAAATCTTCATTTTCATTTATTTAATTTGTATTATCATCATTTTCAGCTGGAATACCCATACTTTATTTAGCTAATCTTATTTCACTTTTTCTAACATAATTTAAATGAGTTTTTTCATCTTCTAATCCAATTTTTACAAAAGCATCTTCTAATGTTTTCATTTCTAAACCAATTGTTATATTAAAGGATTCTAAATTATAAAACAAATTTCCTAATTTTCCTTTTGATGAAAAAGGAATGTTAAATACTAATTTATTATCATTAGAATGTTAAGTTTCTAAATAACAATTAGGAATCATTTCATTAACTTTATCATAAATTTGATTTCTTAGATTATTATTATCAAATGATAATTTTAAATTATAACCTTCTCCAAACTTTCTTTTAATAAAATCAGAAGATCCAACAGCAAGTAATTATCCTTTTGACATAATTCCAATTCTATTAGCTAATAATTCTGCTTCATCTAAATGATGTGTTGTTAATATAATAGTTCTTTTATCTTCTCTAATTCTTTCTAAAATATTCCAAATAGATCTTCTTGAATAAGCATCCATACCAGATGTAGGTTCATCTAAAAATATTATTTTTGAATCTCCAACTAAACTCATAGCTAAAGATAACTTTCTTTTTGATCCTCCAGATAATTCTAAAATCTTTTTATTTTGTTCCTCTAATAATTCTGTTTTTTACAAAATTTCTTCAATTTCTTATTAATTTAATCTACCTTTGATTCCACTAATAAATTCTAAATGTTCCTTTACAGTTAAATCATTATAAAGACAATCTTTTTAAGTACATAATCCTAAAGATTTTCTAATCTATCCAAGTTATGTATCCAAATTCATTTCATACATACTAACTTATCCAGATGTCTTTTAAATCATTCCTGTTAATAAATTAATTGCTGTTGTTTTTCCTGCTCCATTATGTCCTAATAAACAAAATATCTAAGACTCATATAGATGTAAACTTATATTATCAACAGCATTTAGATCTCCAAATCGTTTTAAAAGATTCTTAATTATTATACTAGGTGAACTATTCATTTTTATATCTTCATTGTACATAGCTGAACTACTTTCACTATCACTTTCATTTAATTATGCAAAAACATTATTTTTACTATTCTCTATTCTATTCTTTTTCTTATTTTAAGAAATTTTCAAAAAAAATAATGGATGTTTTGCTATTCCATATTCATTTGGAATAACTTATTCAAAATATATAAAGAGTATAAAATAAACTACAAGTTAAATTGCTAGTTATAGTCCAGCTAAATTATTTGGGTAAGTATCACTAATTATTTCTGTTGGAAATAAATTTAATTTTGTTAAATCTGTTCCAACTTCTGAATTCATAGATGATATATATGAAAAAGCTATTCCACATTGAGGACTTATCATTGTCATTAAAATGTAAAATAATACTTTATTAGCTACATTTTCTACAAAAGAAAAGTAGATAAAAAAAGTAAAAGCAATTTACAAAAACGACTACATTTCCCCTGCAATTTTAACTTCATTAAATAAACTAGATAATAAGAAATTCTAATTCATAGCCTAAATTTGATAACAAATTCTTACAGCATATGCAAATAAAATGTAAGGCCATAACATATTTGAAAATGATACATGAAATTCTTTTTCCCAATTAATATCAAATATAGCATTGCAAATTAACCAAGAGAACTCAAATATTAGTACAGACTAAATAATATATTTACATTATTACTATTCCAATCCTTATATATCCTGTTAAGACCCATCCAATTGTATATGCTTTCTCATTCATACCCATTATCTGATTATTCATAAATTCTTACCTTCTATAGTTCTTTAAACCTTTTGCTTTTCTCTTCGACTAATTTTATTAACATTGACCTTTATGTAGAAGTTAAAGCAATACTATAGAGTAAAGGCATCAACTATTAAATAGCTTGCAATTAAGCTTAATTATATAATCATTATATAAGTACCTTTTAGTGAAAGCATACCAGCCACTACAATTGGTAATATAGATTCAATAAAGAACTCCTTATTTCTGAAGCTTATCAGCAGATTTTTTTTAATAACAAAGCATATTTAATCACATGTGCTCATTAATAAAAAATAGAGTTTTAGATTTTCTTAATTTTATTTAATATATTTAAGAATTATAAATTTATTCATTTTTATATATCAATCAAATTTAACCTCACTATTTTATAATTGACTCAGTTTGTCCTCTATTAATAACACTTATTATCTAATAATTTAGAATTTTTATAAAATGTAAAAACATATATGATTTTCATGACATACTATTAATACACAGAGCATAAATTACACAAAATAAATAAATGTGCTTTTACCTATAAATATATAAACTATTACTATGAGAATTCCCGTTAGATTCTAATTGTTTTATCATACATCAACTAAACTATGAACAAAATTAAAAAGTTCTCGTTATTTATATATCTTGCAATTATAGAATGCTTGATTTCTAAGTCAGAATATATTGGTCCTAAATTGAATTTTCTTGTGTAATTGTTCATTAGACACATATTTAGATATAGAACAAAAGTTATGAACTTCATTTACATCCAATGTACATAGTATGTCAAAAATATAGATTATGCTTTTGCAAAAATATAATTATTTATTATACTGCAAAATAAAATATACGGTTTGCTATTCCTCATAATAATATCTAATTGTTATTATAATTTCCAAAGCGTATAACTAAATAATTGATAAATTTTACATTTCAATAAAAATACTTTTATTCACTACAAGATGCATCCATCAATTAATCTAACAATTATTGAAAAGTATTTAAAGTTGTTAATATATCACAAAACCCATGCTGAAATTTGGTATAAAGAAATCCTTAAATTGCAAAGTAAAAGGAGATATAAATTGATGAATTTCAGATTGCATAGAATAAATAAAATTTAAATTAATCTAAAATAAAAGGTACCTAATTATAAATATTATTGTTATTTCTTTAAACTAAAAGCTATAAAACATCAATTATAATTTTTCATAAAAATTGTTCATTTTTTTTATAATTCTATAATCTTATAATATAAATATATTAATTAAATTTTTTATATTAAATAATTTAGTTTAAACAGATGATACAAATAAATTAGAAATTTTGATAATAATCAAGGGATGCGAAATTATTAATCAATAGGTGTATATTAATCAATAGGTTATATTTAATATTTTCTCATAATTTAGATAAGATAAAAAAAACTAAAAATCAATTACAATGTCCAGTTAATCCAATTTCTCCTAATCTGAGCCATATTTTTCTATTTCTTTCACAATGATTATACAAAGCTTAGTAAGATTTGGTGAATTTAAAGTGTAACTCGAAAACTTCTTTTAAGATTTCATAAAGAATCTATCTATACAACCAAATTTTTTCAACTTTATTTATATTGATTTAATCTTGAGCAAAATCTTATTAACTTGAATCAATGCCTAAATTATTAAATTATTTATTATATTTTATTGCTGTCATCTTAGATATTGCTTATTCTGATATAAGTTCTTAAAAAAATAAGAATTCTGAACTAAGTAATTCTTCATTTTCATTTTAAAAATTAGATTCTATTTATTCTTATTCTAACCATAGAGAGAAATTAATATAGGAAATAAAACATTTAGATAATGAGGATTTGTTTAAATCAAATTATTATTCATTCTCAAATAATGTTGTAAAATTATTATTGACTCTTATATTTGTTTAAACATGTCGTGAATCATCAATAAGCATTTTTTATGATTTTATTTTATCAAAATAACATAGGTAATCATAAAACAATTTTATAAATTAAGGTTATGTAATAAATAATCCAAAAGTAGAACACTCCATTTCAAATGGCAATTCAGTTATGGATTAGTGTTAAAAGAATAATGGTAAAATTGTTGAGCAAATTAACATAGATGATAGTTTGAAACAATCAATATAATAAAATAATGGAATTTCATGAGAATTACTGCATTCAAAAAATTCAAGTAAATTGATCAAAAATATTTTGACTGAAAATTGAAAAATTTCAATTGCAAATGCTATCCAATAATCAAATTATTAAAATTTCTAAAATTATTTATAATTATTATACATTAACTTTTCTCATAAAAAATATTGATAGAATCAAAATAAGCTGTGACATATATACAAATGTAATTCTAGGCATTATTTTTTAATAATTCTATTAAGAATCCTCTTACTATGTAAAAATATTTAGATCAAAATTAGTAAAAGTTTCAAGTAGTCCAATAGAAATACAACAAATAATCATAGTTACAGTAAAGCTAAGTCCTTTGAACTTAAATAATTTCCATGGTCTTTAGAAAGCATAAAAAAATCGGCAAGCCCTGAATAGATAGCATAATATTGGTATGTACTTAAATTAAGCTATAAAGCTTATAAAATTTTAAATAATACAAGATAATTAAATAAAAGCTGATGTCATTGTATGTATAATTCGGTGATAATAAAACAGCTATTGGATATAAAATTAAAAAGCCATAAGTTGTAATAACTTAGATCATAAGAATATAGCAGCTTCGTTCTCTCAAAATAATGTTATTTTTTTAACTCCATAAAAAAATTAATAATGATCCAAAAAATAAACTTACAGCTATTGTGTATACAATTGATATGCTAATTGCTTATTATTTAGATGTTTTGATATTAAAACAGAGTGTATGGGCTTCTTAATTGCTCATTGTTTTCGCAATATTAATATAATTTATATTATTTGAATTATTAAGTCAGAACTATGATAATACATGTAAACTGATGGGCATCAAAAGACTGGAAAATACTCTATAGTATTGCTGTAACTTCTTTTTATCTTGACTTTGTTATGGTCATTTAATATAGGTTTAACATTTTGACAATCTAAAGAGATGACCTCTTTTGCCATCATCATTAAACAACATTTATATTATTAAGTTAAGAATTTATTGACCTCTTCTTACCTATCTGTAGGAAGTCTACAAGATATTTGTTAAATTGTATCATCTTAATAATTAATTATACTTAGACCAGGATTACTGTTTATGTTATTTTTTTAATTAGGATTCTTTTTATAAACTTTAGAAGAGTTCAATACTTTCTCAAATTCAAAAACACTAAATTATTGTTAATCATCAGATGTAGCAAATGATTATAAATTATGCTAAATTTAATCTTTATGTTTAAGATAAAACTCTTTATAAAATTAAAACTATGAATATATATTTGACCATTTTTCTTCATACATCTAATTTGATTTGATTAATGTTTCATTGACATTTTATAATTCCATCATTTAAAGATTCAACTCTGTTAATTATAAATCTAATTGTTAATTCAATACTAATTAAGCATGATATTTATTTTTAGTTCTTAATAATTCATCCTATAGCCTTGAAAATTAAATTAAATAATTACATATAAATTTTTTAATCAACACCTTCATTTGCTAATTTATTGGCAAGTAATTACATTCTTTTAATATTAAATTATTATATTTGTTATGCTTTAGTTAAATCAAGTTTAGGTATGAATTTTTCTGGTTCTTACTTTAAATCTTTTGATATTTATTATTTTTATTATCTTTTTACTTTTTATGGCAATGTTGGAGAGAAAAGAGGAGAGAAGACAGCTACAGCTGATTATTACATTTGCATTTTTTCATCTTATGAATCCTCATCAAAAAATAATCTCTTTTGTACTAAATGTTATAAACAATTTTTACATTATACTAAATTATTAATGAATTTTGATGGATCTTCATTTTAACTAACTAGATTATAAAATATTTTTTATAATTACAAAATGTTTTTGTCTAATTTCTGGGTGTGAATCTTTAAGTTCTCATTTTTAGAATTTCATTTGATAAACTAAAATTTAATTGTGCTAAATCATTTTTTTATTCAATTAATTCTTCTATTTGTAATTTCTATTTTAATAACATTGAATTCATTTATTAAATTACATTATTAAAACTTAAAGTCAACTATTCTGGTTAAGTTAACTATCGAAAATAATTTTAAAACTACATGTTTTTCTAAATAAATCGTTCCCATCATTTCATTTGACATTTATACCTACTCATTTAACTTCTTTTTTAATTCTGTAATTGTTCTATTTAGATTATTAATCATCGAAGATTCAACCCTTTAATTCGATTCATTAATTTATTCTGAAATAAAGGCCTATAGATATTATAAATTATCGATTTACTTTATCAAATGCTAAGTTTCTTTCATCACTTAATTATTCAATTTTTTTCATTAAAATTTCATTTTCCTCTTAAACAAATTTTAGTAAAACCAATGCAGCCTTACATTCTGAACTTTAATTAAATGATTATGGATTATAACAAATTTTTAATTATTCTTTGTTCAATCTTATTAGGTCTTTGGCATCTTATAGTTATTATTTCATAGAATCTAATTCAATTTAAAGGTATCTGCATTAAGATTTCCATTTTTCGATTTCCATTTATTTAATATAATTTAAATTTATATATTTCATTTTTCATTATTAATTATTGTTTGTTATATTCTCATTAATCTCAATATGATTTCATCTTAAAATTTTGAAAGTGACCCATACACCCTTATTACAACTAAAAGATAAATATTTAGTTCTGAAAATGAATCAAATTTAAATAAAATAAATAAAAAACATTATCTTATAGATTAAGATGACAATTTTAGCTAAGAAAAGTAATTAAATACAATATATGAACAAAGCAAAAATATCAACTTTATAGAGTTAATCTAATCTAGAAGTTCTATGATTCCGACCGTTAAAGTTTTATCTCCAAGAAATGAATAAATTTTGTAAAATGAAGATGGGTTTTATTTTTAATCTAGTATGCATCTTAGTGAAGGGTAAAGTATTTTTTTTAATTGAGAGTTTGAATAAAATTTGGTAGAATGGAGGATTGAAAATTATAAAATATGTTGCTAGATTCATTTACTAATTGAAGACTAAAGCAGATAAACTAAAAATAAAATTAATGAATGAAGAGATATTTATGAAATTAGGGGATAAAAGTGCTGATTTTTAAAATTTTAAGAGAGGAAATTAAAAGTAAAAATTAAATGGTTTATTATGTCAATTTTTTAATAAAATAATTTTCTAAACTATTTTTTTTTGGAATTTAGTAAGCCAAGGTTTAAATAAAATAGCAATCATTTATCCTGAAAGTACATTTAAAATAATTTGGGATACAGTAGTAGTTTGTTTCATAGTTATAAATATATTTTTTATTCCAATGAGTCTAAGCTTTGAATTGGATAAATCAAGTCAAATATCTACATTGTTATTTGAAACTATTCCCAGTTATATTTTTATTGTAGAAATTCTTCTAAATTTTAATACTGCATATTATAGTTAAGGAATTATTCATACAAATCGAAGTGATATATTTTTTCATTATATATCTAACAATTTTATTTGGGATTTACTAATAGCAATACCATTTATTTTAGCCTAATTTAATATACCTTATATATAATTCATTTTGTTATTACGTATAGCAAGAGTGAGATCAATGATACAGAATGTAGAAGATCTTTTAAATGCAAAAGAAGAGGTTTAAGCAGTCATGGAATTAGGAAAATTAGTATATTTTTTGGTTTTAGTTGCTCATATGTGTAGTTGTGGTTGGCATCTTTTGGGAAGAATTGAATATGAAGTTTATTAAGATGAGAATAGTTGGTTAATTTTTTATGGTCATTATAATCAATAATGGTATGATAGATATATTGTATCTTTATATTGGAGTGTAATAACAACTTTAACAGTGGGTTATGGTGATATTGTTCCTTAAACTTCAATTGAAAGACTTTATGTAGTTATAGTAGCTATGGTATTATGTGGAGTTTTTGGTTATATCATTTCAACTATTGGAGAAATATTAAAAACTTTGGAAGAAAGAAAAGCTTTACTAAAAAAGTCTATGAAAAAAGTCAATTAATATATAAAATAAAAGAAATTAAATCTATAATTATCCCTTAAGGTTAGAAAATATTTTGAATTTAAACATCAAATAGATGAATAATTATAAGAATAAGATGATGATTCTGTTTTAAATAAATTAAGTGGTTCATTAAAATAGGAAGTATTAATTGATATATATAAACCAATATTAATGAAATCCAAATTCTTAAAAGAGAATATTCCAGAAAATCTAATAAACAATTTGTGTTAAAAAATAAAATAGGCGACTTTTGCACCAGGGTTTGATTTAGTAAATGTTTATGATCCAGCAACAAAATTAATATTTATTTTAGATGGTTAAGTTAATAGTTACTTTATCTCTAAAGGACTTGAAGTTCTCTAGAAAAATGAAAAAGAATCTAATTCTGTAATGATGTAAAAATAATATTAAAGAGGAGATATAATTGGAGAATAAGAATTTATTATTAATTCATCTTATTAATTTTATTTCAAAGCTTAAACAGTCTTATCAATTGTTTACATTGAAAGAAACGATTTTTTGTAGATTATTTAAGAAAATGAAGAATGTCGATAAAAATTCTATTAATTAAAGGATAAATTAACATATTAAAAAACATATGGTAAAACTTGTGATGTTTGTAAATGGACTCATAGATATAAAGATTGTCCTTTTGTATTTTATTAAACTAATATTTATAAAATAGCAAGAAATGCAAATATAGACTACAATCAAACAAGAATTAAATTTGATAGGGAATTAAGGTCAAGATCAAAATTATAAGATTATCAAAATATATAAAATAAAGGAATTGATTTTATATTAAATTAAGGATATTTAAATGAAGAGTAAAAATACATATATAAATTTAGTTAATTAAATGAATCATATCTTGTTAAATTGGGATTTGAAATTTAAGGAGGATTTTTAGAGAAATCTAATTAATCTTAGGATAGTTAATCATAAGATTCACATTAGCCAGATAGTCACTCTATTGCTCCAAGAAAAGGATCTTCATAGATTGAAAAAGTTAGAACAAGCTTTATGAATTAGAAGTTTAAAACTGGATTAGGTTAATAAAATGTAAATCTACTCAAAAATTAAAATTAAGATGATGATTCAAATGCAGCTCTCTAAAATCTTCATATTTAATTATAAAGAAATACTGAAAATGAATTATAAGTTGATCTTAGAGAATAGGCTCATTCAATTGCAAATTCCAACCACTATAATCTTACTAATAACACAATAAAGTAACTTCAAAGTCCTTATTCTTAAAGTAATTTAAGATCTTCAGTTGTAAATCAATTAGGTAAAACTGAAACTTCAATGCTTTTAAAGGGTAATACAAATTAATAATAAAATATTCATCATTCTACAAAATTAACAAATAATAATTATTATGTAGAAAATGAAATTGAGAAGAATTAATAATAAACTAATAATACTATATCTTTCATTCCAGAAATAGATATTGATAAAATGAAAAATTATGATTTTTATTTTCCATAGTTTAATGTAGTTAATGTTTTAGAGAATTTAAAAAATTATCGTTAACATTAATTTAATGACAACAAAAAGAGAAATATAAAAGAAAAACTAAAATCAATCAGATTAAATAAATCAATGAATAGGGTGCTAAATTCATCATTCAGAAATATAGATGAAAGTATTTGATATTATTTCTCATTAAATGATTTATCATAATATTTCAGAAATCATTCAAAATAACCTGAATATTCATTTCTAATAGAGTTACTGGATATTTCCAATCAAATCTTTCAAGCACTTCTGGATGAACTACTCCTAATCCTCCAATTGGTTGATCTTTATAAATTATTTCTGCCTATAATTAATGGAAAAATAAAGGATCTATAAATAAAAGATTAAAATTACCATTAGATTATTTCAAATGGTAATCTGTCTTTTTGACTCTTAGTTTAATCATTAATTAATCTAATAATCCATGCAAAATTTCTAATTCACTTTTTTTACTACTAGAATGAATAGCAACTAAATTTCTTTAATTATATGTTCCAACTTATCCTTCTCCTTTTTAAAATCCATCTTTTTCTGATTTCATACCTTTTACACAAACATCTGAAACTTCAAATAACTTTATTGGTAATTTGCTATCTGAATTAGCTTATAAAGTATGTAAAATTCCAGGAATAAGAGTTGATCTCACAGTTTAAAATTATGGAGTTTTTGAATTATTAATAGATACATAATTTTATAGATTAGGTCTATTTAACATTTTTGTTTATTCATCAATTGACATTAACACAAAATTTAAACATTCTACAAAACCACATAGTGCTACTTCTTCTCTTACCATATCTGATAATTTATTTAATCTGTATTCTGATCCAGTTGTAGCTGTTTCTGGTACTTTAAATTCTATTTTATTATAATCATAAGCAATTCCAATTTCTTCAGCAATATCACATTATTAAAGAATATCACTTCTATAAAATGGTACTTAGCATTCTAAAATATTTTCATCTTTAGCAACACTTATTATACCCATATTTTATAATAATTCACTTGCATGTTAAGTTGCTAAAATTATTATAATTTATTTACTTATATTAATTCCTAAAACCTTATTAATATATTATATATTTGTTGTTAATGTTCTTTCATCTATGACAGGTGTAACAATTTGTTTATTATTTACTTCATAGATAATATTAACCTTTTCAATATTTAAATTTTCATTATAGATAGCAAACCCACTTACTAAACAATTTAAAGTATTTAAAGCTCTTTATTCATCTACTGCTGTAACTTCAATTAATATATTTTTAGTTTCTGCTGACATTTTAGAATGCTCTCCATTTATTATTGGTGGTAATGAACATACCCTCTTTTGATTATCGTATATGACAGGATAAACAGGTGAATTTTCAATAATCTTCAAATAACCTTTCAAATATTAGTCTTCCTAAAATTATATGTAATATTATTTACTCGTAATTTATTAAATAAATCAATACAATTCATCTTTTCATTTTATTTTAAAGCTTAAAATACAATTTCTTAAGGTTATTATGCATCATAAAAAAAGGGTCCTTCTATTTTATCTAAATCATGAGTTCCTATAGAAACTAAAGTTCTTTTTCTAGCATAATTTTGATGTATTTTATCTTAAAATGATAAAAAAGATTTAAAACTATCTTCTGTTAGAGTAACATCTCTTAGTATTGCTCCAACAACAAATGGTCTGATTTATTAAGTCTATTAATTTTTTATACTAGAATTACTGCAGCTTTAACATAAATTGTTTCTTTTGCAGGAATGAAGTTAAAATTTCTCTTTTTTTCCATTCCCATATATACTCTCAATGCATGCACTAAATTTTCAACACATAATAAATCTGGTCTATTGGCAGCTATTTCAAAATATAATAGATCAGGCTCTTCCTCTCTTTCTTCTGCTTCAATACCAAATCTGAAAAGTAACTCTTCCAATTCTTCTTCATTTAATTCTTTTCCCAAAAGCTTAAAGAATAGCTTCTTATCTGATGATATTTTAGGCATAATTAAAATTTATATATTTTATGGCAAATATTTTCATTGAACTATTCTTAAACTATTTTCTTCAATCAATTAATTATGACTTCTCGGTTTTTTTAAACTCAATATCTTTGCTTCTCAATTGTTATTCATCATCAAAGACAATTTACAAACACTTCAAAATCTTTATTCACTTAAGTTAAATTAGATTTCCATTTTTATAGCAAATCATTTACTATAATTAATAGTATTAAATTCCTAATTTAGAATTCAAAAGAGCAATCGAATTTAGTATAGCTTTACTATTATTCAGAAATATTGAATTCTTTTCTATTTAAATTTATTTCCTACAAGAATTTACTTTACAAAAATAAAATTAATTAATCATAATACTTTATTTATTTGCTTTATAATATATTAATAAAAAAATATATAATCCATAAAATAGTTGACTTATCATTTACTAAATTTATTACTTAATTTTATTACTGTAAAATAAAAATTTTTTAACAAAACTATCTTAAAATTGATAATAAATATAATCTATCATCACGGTTAAACATTTTATGGTTGATATTAGAATCTTAAATCATAATTTTTGCTTTTAATAAGCTGCTAAGAATTAGTACGTCTATGATCTGGAAATTCATCAACTTAATATGGAGCATTTGAATTTTCTGTTGGTTTTGGTTATTAAGGCTTTTGAAATCCATAATTATTTTATTAGGGATTCATAAATCCTGAATTATTTTAATTAATTCTCTAATAAATCAAGCTATTTTCTGTCTATTGTATTTAATTATTATGATTGTTTAATGGTTCTTAATTCCATGAATATTATTATTATAAAGTTTACTTAAATTATAGATTATGAATTTCACTCTCTAAATTCCTTATTCTACTTTCCATTTAAAATATTTTTTCCTTAATATATTAAAATCATTAATACTTTCTCTTTAGTCAAATCATTTTCTAATTAAATATTTTTTTCTTAAAGTATATTATTTTATAATTGCAAGTTCTAAACTTCTCTTTCTTTCATATTATTATCAGATTCATGTTTCATTTATAAAGCATCATAATCTCTATTTTTTAAATCATTTTAATTTTAAGTTCTAAGCAATTCTTCCATCAATTTTTTAACTTCATTATTTAATTGTAATTTATCTTATTCTAATCTCTCTTAATTTTATAGAATATTCCTACTTTATTCCTATAAAAGTGTTAGCTCTTAAATAAAAAATAAGTTTACCTCCGTCCTATTAATTACATTTTTTTTCATATAAAAGTAAATCATCATGCATTTCTTTCATTTTTGATAATGTTACTGCTCTTTCATTTCTTAATTAAACTTCATTTTCTTATGCACCTTTTAGCAGGCTCTATATATGTACATATTCATTTTCTAATTGATGTAAAGCCATTTCTCTTTTTTTTATTTCTTATTCAAGAGATAAACCATAATTTTTCCATTTATCAAGGGATCCTTTTAAATCTGCAGATTAAATTTGAGATTTTGATAAACTATCATCTATAGATCTTTCTAATTAATAGCATTTGTTTTATAACATTTAGTTTTGGGTATTTAATTAATTAAGTTATTCTTTCAACTTCCATATATCTTATTCTTATGATTAAGTTTTAACTGCTAACTTTTAATATTCATTTTTTCCTGTTTAAATAGTCATTGTATACTAATCAATTTATCTTTATTCTAAAGTTTAAATTTAAATTACATTCAGAAATTTGTTATTACATCTGCCTTAATTTACTTTCATTTTATAAATTTAGATTTTATACATTTTGCAATTCTTTTTCTTTTTATTATAATATGATAAGTTAATTTTTCAATTATTCATTTTAAAAATTAAGATTAGTTATATTTTTTTATAAGTTATTAATCTAATCTTTTGATCCCTAATTTAATTGATTCATTTTTTAAAATAACACTTTATTTTATTCTTATTCATTAATTAAATCCTTATTGATCATATCTAATGCTTATTTCATCTTTCTATTATCATTTAATAGTGTGTCATTCTTTTAGACTTATGATTCATTATTTTATGTAAGCTCTTTTAATTATGTTTTGAATTTATCAATTGTATCTTTCTAAGTCTGTATTTCATTTTCTTAGAATGAATTTTATCTTTTTTGTTCTGATAACTGTTTATTAGCTATTGAAAGCTACTATTCTAAATCAGATATCTAATTATCAAGTCCTTTATTTAGTTCCACTTGCTTTTTTAATTTTTATAAATCTAAAAGCTGATATTAATCATCTGAAATTGTATTCATTAATCTTTTGTTTTCATTTTTTAATTAAAGTATTTAATCTCTAGAATATATATATATATAATACTGCAATCCTTGAATTTCTGTGCTATTATTCTTTTCCCTGTTAATTAATTGATTGCTATTATACATAGATTCTTTACTTTTCATTTTTCAACTTTTAATTTTCCTACTCCAAGGTTCTCCACTAATATCTAATTACTCTTTTAAACATACCTTAATGTCTCATTCTCTTTCATTAATCTTTACATCTATTCTAGATTTTCTTATTCTTTCATAGTTTGTTATCCCATCAGAGGGTAATTGAATTATGGATATGGTGAAACTTAAAGAGTATTTTATTAATATCCATAACTATATGTTATTAATATCATACTTATTTGTTTAGGAAGATCTTCTTGGAACAAACCTAAGTTTTATTATAAATCAACATACTCATTTTGATCTATATTTTTTTCATTTTATCCACTTGAAAGATTCAATGTTCCCAATAATTGATTTTAATTTGGTTTGCTTCTATCTTACTAAGGAATTTAAGTTTAAGCATATGTTTCGAATTAGCTCATTTAGTAATTACAAAAATATTTTTTATAATCAATATTACATTAAGAATACTTTATGATATCCAATCAAATAATATAATTTATCAATTTCAACCTATTTTTCTTAATACAAACTAGTTAAGTTATTTCCTTATGTTCAGAGAATATTTTAAGTGAATAACATTAATATCATATTATTTTCTTAAATTTGAAAGTTAAAGTTTTACAGTTATTTCAGAATTAATTATAAAATCAACAGAATTAACAAAATTTAATATATAATAATGTAGAACTCTTTTAAACTAATTTTTTAAAACAAATAATTCAATATTAATAAATAAAAATAATTAATAATCACAAATTTTATCATATATCTAACTAGAAAATCCTATTTACAATTATAACAATATTAAAAATGTTAATGCAATTCTAATTTATTGAAATGTATAATTATATAAATTCAAAATACAGATTAAAAAAATGTTTTGTATTAAGATTAGAGTTATTGCTCAATAGAGAATCTTTTTGAGTTGGTATTTAATTTACTTTATAAATAATTACTTGTAAAATTTGGTCTACTCTATAATAAATTATTATTTTTATTATTATTTATTTTAAGTTTAAGCACGTCAATGAATTAATTTAAGTCTTATGGTTAATTATTACTTTAAAATTAAGATTTACTTGATGATGTTTTCAATTATAAAACTCGATCAATATCTTTGAAAGGACTCGAAGATGCTCTTAATTATTTTTTAGAACTCAATTCTTTATAATTTGAAAAGTTTAATTTTTTCTAATATCCACTCGACTAAATTGAATTATCATTATCAAAAAATTCAAGTATTTGATTTTTTAATTCAGATATTTTGGATTTGATTTCTGAAAAAAAATTTTGTTTTTATTTTAAAGGTGATTATATAATTTGACAGTTAGAATATGAATTAAGAAGCTCCTTATTTTTTTAAATTTCTTATAATTGTAATCTTAGTTCATGCTCTTAGTCTTATAAATATTGATTTCCTTTGTTTACAACTTTTTTCATAACTTCCCTAATAGATTAAATTAATTCTTCTTAATAAGATTACACGTTCTTTTAGAATTATTTGCAATCATCTCTCAAATTAAACAGTCTCTTTATAATAGTTTATTCTTTAAATGATAAATAATCTATCTGCTCGTTTTAATCAAAGTGATCAGAATAATTTATTTATTATTATTTTTAAGGAGAAATAAAGATTTGGGATTAAGATTAATGTATTTTATTTTCGACTTATCGAAGCAGTTCCTATGAGTCGATCGATAATCTTGATTCATCCTTTGATTTTGAAAACTCAAAATATTTATCCATACTTTATTTTATATAAAATAATACAAAAGATAATTAAACCAAGAATTTCCATTTTAGGAGTGCTTCAAATTTATTTAAACTACTAGTCTTACATAAAATAAAAATTATTCAATTAGAATTATCAAATTACATTAGATTTTTTTCAAAATTTTCAAGTTAAGATATAAATCCTTTATTTGGACAAACAATCTTTCTAATTTCCTTTAATTTTTAAAGTGCTTCTTTTGCTTGAATTCTATAATTAAAATTTTTCGTATTACTTTTAAATTTTCATTAAATATGCAGCTACAATAGTTGCTGATCTAGAAGCACCTTAAAAGCAGTGAACCAACACATTTGTGCTTTGAAGATTTTATTCTATAAATTAAAAGCATTCTTTGAAATGAAGACCTATATTAGTTTAATTTTTTATTTGATTTACAAATCTAATATTCTGGTACATCTTAAGCATTTATAATAAGATGATTTCTATTAGGTAAACTTATATTTATATCATCAGCTACTGTTAAGATAGCTCCAATTTATAATTATTCCAAATGTTATATAGCTGTAGAATGTTTATTTCCTTTGTAATAAATAATTAAGCTTACCTAAAAATAGATTTCCTTTATCAACACAATTACTATCAATAATTTTATTAGGTGAAGTATAGCTTGATGAATACATAATTTAAGTTATCGAATTAAAATTTGATAATTTAATAAATTTAGGTTTTTTCTTTTTTAAATATTCACTTATAAATATTATGATTCTTTTTAATATTATAGATATCAATAGCTATATTTAACTATTAGGTCATTATTCTTAAAATAAATTATTCTAATATTTTGTATAAGGTAAAATTTTAATTATTGGAAAAAAAATATAATAAATAAATGGGCCAATTATGTATTGAAAAACCAAAACAAAAACACTCAGAGGATAATTTACATGAACTTAATCCATAAACTTAAAAATAACCATAAACATAAGAATCATCACTTTAAAATCCAAATTTGACAGAATAAGAGGTAAAGGATAAAACTCAAGTAAAATTACTCGATTCTGTAAACACTCATTAAAATTTATCTATTCATGATGTTTATAAAATATTATCTCCTCCATTAGGAAGTGGTAAATCTAATTATAATTTCAGGATCTTATGCTGAAGTGCGCAAAGGTTTACACAAAGTTTTAGGAATTACACGAGCAATAAAAATCATATCTAAATCAGAAGCCACAAATGAAGAGATTTCAAGAGTTTTACATGAAGCAGAAATACTTAAATAGCTAGTAATAAATATTTGAATTAGGATCATCCAAATATAGTAAAAATTTTAGAGATCTACTAAAATTCTGAATAAATTTTTATAGTAACAGAGTTATGTACAGGAGGAGAGCTATTCGATGCCATAGTGGAATCTTAACATTTTTCAGAAAAGGATGCAGCTAAAATAATAAAATAGGTATTACAAGGATTAAATTACTGTCATTAANAATAGTTGCTGATCTAGAAGCACCTTAAAAGCAGTGAACCAACACATTTGTGCTTTGAAGATTTTATTCTATAAATTAAAAGCATTCTTTGAAATGAAGACCTATATTAGTTTAATTTTTTATTTGATTTACAAATCTAATATTCTGGTACATCTTAAGCATTTATAATAAGATGATTTCTATTAGGTAAACTTATATTTATATCATCAGCTACTGTTAAGATAGCTCCAATTTATAATTATTCCAAATGTTATATAGCTGTAGAATGTTTATTTCCTTTGTAATAAATAATTAAGCTTACCTAAAAATAGATTTCCTTTATCAACACAATTACTATCAATAATTTTATTAGGTGAAGTATAGCTTGATGAATACATAATTTAAGTTATCGAATTAAAATTTGATAATTTAATAAATTTAGGTTTTTTCTTTTTTAAATATTCACTTATAAATATTATGATTCTTTTTAATATTATAGATATCAATAGCTATATTTAACTATTAGGTCATTATTCTTAAAATAAATTATTCTAATATTTTGTATAAGGTAAAATTTTAATTATTGGAAAAAAAATATAATAAATAAATGGGCCAATTATGTATTGAAAAACCAAAACAAAAACACTCAGAGGATAATTTACATGAACTTAATCCATAAACTTAAAAATAACCATAAACATAAGAATCATCACTTTAAAATCCAAATTTGACAGAATAAGAGGTAAAGGATAAAACTCAAGTAAAATTACTCGATTCTGTAAACACTCATTAAAATTTATCTATTCATGATGTTTATAAAATATTATCTCCTCCATTAGGAAGTGGTAAATCTAATTATAATTTCAGGATCTTATGCTGAAGTGCGCAAAGGTTTACACAAAGTTTTAGGAATTACACGAGCAATAAAAATCATATCTAAATCAGAAGCCACAAATGAAGAGATTTCAAGAGTTTTACATGAAGCAGAAATACTTAAATAGCTAGTAATAAATATTTGAATTAGGATCATCCAAATATAGTAAAAATTTTAGAGATCTACTAAAATTCTGAATAAATTTTTATAGTAACAGAGTTATGTACAGGAGGAGAGCTATTCGATGCCATAGTGGAATCTTAACATTTTTCAGAAAAGGATGCAGCTAAAATAATAAAATAGGTATTACAAGGATTAAATTACTGTCATTAAAATAAAATAGTACATAGAGATATAAAACCGGAAAACATAGTTTTTGAAAGCAAAGATAAAAGAGGAACAATTAAAATTATTGATTTTGGTACTTCAAGGGTATTTGATCCTCATTAAAAAATGAATCAAAAAATAGGAACCGTAATATTTTATTTATTTTTTAAGCCTTATTATATAGCTCCAGAAGTGTTAAAAAAAAAATATGATGAAAAATGTGATATATGGTCATGTGGAGTTTTAACTTATATCTTATTATGTGGATATCCACCATTTAACGGAAAATCTGAAGCAAAAATTTTAGAAAAAGTTGAATAAGGGAAATATGATTTTAATTCAGAAGAATGGGACATTATCACCGAAGAAGCTAAAGATTTCATTTCTAAATTAATGGAGAAAGATCCTTTCAAAAGATATACTGCTGAATAAGCACTTAAACATGCATGGATTTTATAATAAAATGAAGATATTTAAAGTTAATTGCCATAAATAGACAGAGCTTTGAAAAACATGAAGACTTTTAAAGTAAATCTCTCTAAATTATTCCTTAGTCAACTAAACAAATATAATCTGCAATCTATTAGTACATAGTGAATCAGTTTTCAAGTTAAGAAGACAAATCAGAATTATTGAAAACTTTTAAAGCTTTAGATACAAATAATGATGGTTAATTAAGTAGACAAGAACTATTAATTGGTTTAAGAAAGATTATGGATGAAAATGAAGCTATAGAAGAAGTAGATAGAATAATGAGAGATATTGATTAAAATAATTCAGGAACAATAGATTATTCTGAATTTGTTGCTGCCTCAATTAATAGATCAAAATTATTATCCTAAGATCGTCTGGCTAAAACATTTAAAGCAATAGATAAAGTATAATGAAATTAAATAGTAGGATGGTAATGGTTCAATAAGTATAGATGAATTGAAATTGATTTTTGGAAATGGATTAGTTCCTGATTAAATTTGGAAATAGATAATACATGAAGTAAATGATAAAGAGGAGATAAGTTTCTAAGATTTTTCAGAATTAATGCTAAATTTGGCATTTTGAAATAGATGATGTTATTTTTAATAAAATTATATTAGAATAATTAGTAATTAAATTTTGATTAAAAATAAATTGTGATTTTTTAAAAAAAATTATTTTTATTGATAATTGAATCAGATCATTAACTCAAACTATTGTCACCAGCAGCAACTCTCATAGCTATATATTCTTTTAAGTCTCTCATATTTGAATTTAAATGTCCAATCAAATCTGAAACAGTTTATCTATCTCCATCTCTTGCGGTTCTTCTTTGTTAGTATTCATAAGCAGCTTATTAGCATTCAGCTCTTCTGTCGTCTCTTTATTATGTCTTAGCTTCAAGTCTGGCAGCATTATCATCTTATGAACTGTGAGTTGCAGCAAGTTAATCAGCTAATGATTAGATTTCAGCTTCTAAATTAGCAATTGCTGAGTTAAGTTTATTCATATCTCTATTTAAGAGTGTATTGTATGCTTCATAAGCTTATCTTCTTGCATCTTCAGTCTTTCTTGCTAAATCAAAAGCTTAACTTAATTAATTTTATAAATCATCAATTAATTGAATGATTCTACCTGTTAATTCTTAATTAGCATATTATTAGGCTTTGACAGCTAATTAAGCCATAAGTTTAATTGCTTTTCCGAATGTTCTTACGTGTTTCATTTATCCAGCCTTATGAGCAGCAGAACTTAAGTGGTTAGCAACTTAAGCAAATACTTATGGAGTGTAGTGAACAGTTTCACTAGATCCCTTTTATAAGAAAGCTGGGGCTTATAAGTTGTCTGTAAAGAGTCTTCTAGCTTCAGCAAGAACACCTGAAACAAATGTGAATTCTTCTCTTTAAGCTTCAAAGTCATCATTTTATTCTTATCTCTTAGCTGAGGTTTCATCAATAACTTTTTAAAGAAGTGCCTTTTCAGCTAATTTTGCAACTCTTTATCCAACCTTTTAGTCATGAACTGGTTAAAGTTCATCTAATTTTGCTTACAATTCTGTATCTCTTTATTCAAGATTAGCAATTTCTTAATTAAGACCAGCAAGATCAGCATCACAAACTCCTTAGAAAGCTTTGTTTTCAGCATCATCTTCTCTTTAATCATTTTAATATCTTTCTTCCAAATCATAAAGTGTAGAGAAAATTCTTTCAAGTGGCTCACCTGTTTACATTTAGATAGCTATTGTATTTAACAATGTCTTTCCAAGTTTTGATTATTCAAGTTTTTCAAAAGCAGCTAAATTTGTAGCGAAGGCTGTTGCAACCAATACTAAAAGAACTATAGATTTCATTTATTAATACTTTCCTTTTTTCTAAAATAATCATTTGAAGCTCATATTAAGCAAAAACGAATTTTTTTCTTTAAACTAACGTATTTAATCATTAATAAATTAATTATTCCGTTTTTTAAGGATTTAATTAATAATTATATATATAATATAAAATATTCTTAGGAACCTTTCTTATATTTACCTCATAAATTATCAAATTTTTTCTAATTCATTAAGGTTCTCCTTATTTTATTCTATTCATCCATTTTTATTAATCAAACATACATATTGTTTTAAGTAAGCTTAAGATTTAACTAGCCGATATTTTTTATAAATTTTTAAGAATAAAAGAAAATAATTGTTTATAAACTAATATGTTACTATTCTTTATAGAATGTATATAATAAATGTAAATATAAAGATTTGACAATAAATTAGATCAAGAGGAGGTCTATTTTATATTTGTAGCGAATTTTTTATTTTAATTTATTTGTTTAAAAATAAAATAAATTGCGCTGGTTAAAAAGTGCGCGTAAAATAATAATTATTAAAATTAATATCAAATATGAGATAATGTCATATAGAGCAACATGATTCATAAAAGATCAAATATATATGTATTGATCCAAAATGCTCATAGGAATAAAAATTAGGTATTAAGCTAATGATTTTCAATTATTAATAGGTTGTGCTGATTGTTTTTTGGAAAATCACATTTCATAATCTCCATAAAGTCAGAGTCATATGAGAGTCTAGATATCAAAATTTGAGGAGGATTTAAATTCAAAAATATTTAGTGTTAAAAACCTCAAAATAGAACCAATCACAAATGATTCTAGCTAATTTGATGAAGATTTTAATATATGCTTAAATTAAGTAGCTTCTAAATTCAACAATTTTAAAGATGAATTAAAGAAAGAAATGAACAATGATATATTGAATTTTGATAATCGTGTTATAGAATTCAAAAACACAATCCAAAATTAAATTAATCCTATAATATAATATCAAAATTCCTCTGTATTGAATTGTTCTTCAGAAGAATTATCTAAGGCTATTAATTTTTATTAGGATTCAGATTAATTATCTTAAATACTAAAAAAATAGATTGATTAAATAGAAAATCATCGAGAAAAAGTTTAATAAAACAAATAAAAAATAACTATAAAATTATAAAATGTGGTTGATTAAATGTTAAGATATTTAGATGAATATTAAATTACCAAGCCAAATGCAAATATTTAAGGAACTCCTGAAAAAGTTGGTGTATCTTAGAAAGCTATTTTTTAAAGTGCAAGCAGTACTACTTAATCCCCACCATTAAAAACGATAATTGATGCTGCTAGATCAAAAAAAACAATTCTTACGCAACCATAATAATAACAATTACAACATAAAAAAGGAATGCGTAATAAAAATTGATTCATATTTAATGGTACAATAGTAAATTTTCCTTAATTATATAATAAATTATCAATTTTAATATCGGTTAATTGCTTATCTTGATTGGGCTAAGACTTAATTCACTCTATTTTAAATTTCAATATTTTCTGTGAAATCATTTAAGGTGTGCTTAATTGGACTTGCATAAGTAATTGGAGGAGTTGGTAGCAAGTTGATTTAATAATTAAAATTATCCTATTTATTTGAAGAATTCAAAATTTCATTAGGTTCAATTTGACTTTATTCTAATTAAACAGCAATCTACTTAATTTATTATTAAAGAGAAAACAATTTTCTTTACTATTCCTCAATTATTTATTATTATTTTTATTGTTATTAAAATTATTATTATAACATCTATTGTTATTGCTTTAATTATTATTCCAATTATCTATTAATTTGTTATTCTCTTAAAAGTAATTCTTCATCTGATTTTTCCCTAAAAGAATATGATTGTTAGAAGTTATCAATTTTATTTAATTCAAGATGAGGTTAAAATGTTTAAACCTAAACTTAATGTTATTGATTATTGGATTATCCAATTGGAGGTGGTATAGAAGGTTAAATCAAAGGTTTTTATTCCTATTAATTAATATTTGGTTATCTTAAATTACTCAGATTTAATGTTGGTTTCAAAGGAGAGAAATTGTTACTCTAACTTTGTAAATTTTGATTTAACTCTTTTGAATTCTAAGAATATGAAAATTATATACTAAAATATCTCTAATTCCAACTCTATAATTCATATTTCTTTGAAGCATATTTTTTGTTAATTTAATTAAGTCATCAGAATAACCATTCATAATTGATTCTTATAAACGTTCTTCAATTAATTGATCATTTAATTAAGGAGGATTAGAATTAAAAGAATAACAATCAAAACTGCTTTTAAGGGTCATAAATTCTAACATAGTCATACCTAAAGAAAAGATATCAGATTTGGAAGGATCATGAACAGGATTTATATTTTTTAGTTTTAACTGTTCAATAAGTTCTGGAGAGAGCAAAGCTAATCCTTATTTATTTAATACAAGAGTATAACCACTCATTATCCTTAAAATTCCCATAGGTATCAATTTAATTTGAGTATTTTAATCCAAATATATAGCATCTGGTTAAATTTGCATATGCCACTACTGTTTGGTCTCTAAAAATTGGAGCCCTTATAAAATTTGATGAAGAAACTATTTAAAGTATATGATTAATGATACATTCCACAAGTCCTTTTCTGGAATTAATGATTTATATTAAAAATGATATGAACATATATTTTTAGTTGTTTTGTAAAGTGCTTAATAATACCATTTACTAATAATCAAATTAGTAGTAATTTCAGGATCAATACAAAATCCATAATATTTTATCAGGTTTGGATGAATTAAGCTTTAAGCCTTATTATGAAAATTAAATAATTATCCTTCCTATTCACCTGAAACAGAATTAGCTATTATTTTTTCAAAAATTGTTGGAAATTTAGTTACCTCGTTTTTGAGCTTATATAGTTCGACCCTATCGATATGCTAATAATGTTATCCTCCAAGATGTTAGATTTAAGAGTTTAAGGGGATATTTTAATTAAATATCGAGTTATCCATTGGCTTTGCAAAATATACTTAATTTCCCATCACTAAATATAAATAAAATTTATTTATTCTAATTTACGAATATTTCAATTATTTTTACAATAGTAAAACATCTATTTCATGGGTTATGATTTTGTGGATGTTAATTTCGGAAGATCAAAAATTAATAATTAGAGTAAAATTAAGATTTGGAATTTAAATTATATTTTATTTTAAAAAATATACAATCTTCAATAACTTTTCTTAATATTAATATTCATATTTATAATACAAGAATCTGTTTTATCAATTGAATTAGAAATATTACAAAATATATTTGAATTTTCATCCGAACTAACTAGCCCAAGAATACTAAGAAAATAGAAATCTAAGAGTAATATATTTATATAAGCGTATAAAGATAAAGATTGAGCTTTTCTTATCATATTATTTGAATAAAATAATCTCTTTTCTAAAAAGGTGAAACTAAAATCTTTATTTTTTGAAACTCAAAGTTCTTAGTTATCTAAAATTAACTGATTCATAAAATTATTTAAACATTTAATAAATCGATTTTTTATTAATTTTTGCTCTATATTAATTTTTGAAGGAAGGTCTAAATTAATTATTTGATAAATTTGAGTTTTTTTTAACACAAAATTTAAATTTTAAGAATCCAAATATTAAGATTCATCTTATAAATTAGTTGTAGAAATAGGTTCTGATTTTTGAAGAATATTGATAAAAGCAGAAAAAATATAATCAAGGTATTTATAAAGAATGATTTAATAAATAGATCAATTAGCTCGTGATATTGATATATATAAGGTATTTAATAAGCCTTATTTTACTAAAACAATATCTAATATGAGATGAATTATATAATGTACTTACATTCTTTTTAAAAAATTCTATAATAGTATTTCAGTTCTATTATAACAATATCCAAAATTAGATAAAGAATAAATTTAATATAATAATTTTAACTATCAGAGTAATCTAACCATTAATTATTCTAATATCCCATATGTGAGAATCTCTGTAGGTTTATCAGCCATTAATTCTGAATGGGCACATCTAACAAAACCCCTATAATCTTTCAAATATTCGATGGCTTTATGAAGTAAGAGGTAATAGTTGCTGAGTCCTTAAAATATATGTCCTGGTAATTAAATCTAAGTATTTTATTTATTTACCTCTTCTGTGATAGGAGAATCGAGATTAATGTTTTATAAGTTTTATTGCCTAAAATAATTTTTGATTTCATTTAAACTTTATTTGATATATTATTAAGTAATTCGATAAAAGGTCTCTGTTTCTGTAAAGTCTTGATTAAGTAGACAGACAAATGTTGTATCTTTTTGAAGTTCTAAAATGTTATTATAAGAATACCTGATTTAGAGTTGCATAATTTCAGAAGTTTATCAAAATATTTCATATATTTTTCATTATATTCAATAATAGCTTAAGTAAATTTTTAATAGGAATCAGTTTTTTTGTAAGAAGTGAAATCTTCTAATTATAAGGAATTGGATTAATTATTTTCTTTATCTGTAATTGAATTAAGTTTTGTGATTTTGATGGCAATGTTTTTGCCCATAAGAAAAAGTAATTTATCTTTTAATTCAGTAGGAATAACTTTGCATTAGAGTAGAGTGGAAGAGAACTTATATAGGAATCTACAATAATTGACTTGAGTAAATAAAATATCATTATTAAGTTTGCATTCCATAGAAATAGGTAAATGTTTAATATCTTCAGCAGGTTAAGTTTTTTGTTTGACATAATGTTTTTATACTTATTGTTAACTAGTGGATCTTTAGACATTCTATTATTAAGCAGGTTATAAAGGTTATCTATTATTTTCAATTTATGGAGGTTTTTGTGGTTATTAATTGATTTATTAATATAAGTTTTCTTTATTCTCTTTATATCTTATATCTTATTTGCCTCCTTAACTTAATGATCGTTTAACTCTTTATTATTATTATTATTCATTAGGAGGAGGAGTGATAGCTTATCTTTGTTATTATTATCTTTAATACTATTGTTGTTGTTATTATTATTGTTATTATTGAGGTAATGAAGGAGATGTAGCTTATCTCATCAATTAATGATTAGCCATATCACGTACTCTCATTCTTCTGTTATCGTCAACAGTTAAACATTATCTAATAAAATCTTTAGCTGCAGAAGAGATTTATGGATGAGATGGTAAATGCAATGGTTAATTCATGATGTTAGAAATTAAAGCAGCTTCTGATTATCCATTAAATGGAGTTCTTCCAAAAAGCATTTCATAAAAAACAACTCCAACTGCCCAAACATCTCCCTATTCTGTATGTCCTTATTGTCTTAAAGCTTACGGACTCATATAAAGTGGAGTTCCAACATTAAAATTTCTGCCTTATACTCTAGCTTCATGTAAAGGAACAGCAAAACCAAAATCAGCCAATTTTGGAATTGAATGATCAATTAATATGTTAGCAGGTTTTATGTCTCTATGAATAAAACCTTTTTTATTCATTTCTACCATTGCAGAAACTACGCATTGTAATATTCTTATTGCTTCTTATTCATCTAATCTTCCTCTTTTACGAATGTAATTGTTCAAATCTCCAGAGTCACAATATTCTGTGATTATATATGTATTATTTTAGGTTTAAAAGACATCATGCAATTTCATAATATGTTTACTATTAAATGAACGAAGAGCATTGATTTCATTTTTTAATAATTACGAGTGAATTGATTATTTGATCATTTTCATATCAATCACTTTAACAGCCACTGCTTCTTATGATACATCATCTTTCCCTTTATAAACCTTGCTACTGAATCCTCTTCCAATCTCTTCGTTTAAGAGATAGCTATAATGATCTATTTGTTTCCTTGTTATGTTTTATCTTCTGTACATGTTAAAATTAACGATATTATTAAAAATTAAAACACTCTTTAATTTGTTAATGTAATATAAAGATTTTAAAATTGATATTTTGCAAGGAAATAAAAACAATAAAATTCTAATATGATGATTTAATTGATTATAAGCAAAAATAAGAAAGATATATATTTTGAAATTTAATTTTAATGTATTATCCTTACGGCAGATAATAATATTATCCTCGTTCAGTGTATCAACCACAACCATACAGACCTTAGTTTTATCAACCTTATGCACCCTAATACTATCCATAATCAGCTCTTTATTAATCCTATAATGGATTTCAAATTTCAAAAGTGAATATGCCAACAGCTCATCCTATGGCTAGCTAAACAATTCAATCTCCAAATAAGAATTTTCAAAGTCCAATTAGAGGATTTGCATCACCTGCTAGAAATCAACTTATGCAATCACAATAATAACCACCATAATAAAAACCACCTTCATAATAGCAATTATAATCACCAACACGACCAGGATTTTTAACTTATGAATAAGTGATGGAAAGAATTAATAAAAGCAATGCATAATAATAATAACAATAACCTTAGTAAAGTAATCTATTTTCTAACTATCTTAGAATCTACATCTTTACCTTAACCAATCAAACCCAAACCTTAACCATAAAATGATTAAAACTAATAATAATAACCTAAAAAAAAGTAAGATCATGATATATAACCAACATAACAATAAATTTAACAACAAAATAAAACACCAAATAAACAAGTTCCTGAATAATAAGAAACCTAACCTAAAAAATAAACACCACCACCATAATAATAATAAAATGAAGAAGTAGATGATGAACTTGAAGGTAAAAAATATTATTAAATAATAGAATTGGCTTTACAATATGAAGATGGTTATATTTATAGAGGTTAAGGTTATCCTCCATAAACTAGAAGTGGATTTGGAATTTTAACAGATAGTGAAGGTCAAGAAGTTTATGCTGGGTATTGGAGAGAGAATTTTTATGAGGGTGATGGAAAGTTAAATAATTTGCAAGTTGAATAAATAGAAGGACCTTATGATTACACTAATATGACAAATATTGGAAATGGATGGAAATGTTATGAAGGTAATAAATTTATATTAATCGTTAGGTTTATTTGAGGGTGGCAAAATGCATGGAGAAGGTACATTAGTACTCTCAAATGAAGAAAAATATACTGGGCAATTTGATGATGGAATGATTCATGGAGAAGGTAAATTCTAAACTCTTGAGAATAAAATTATCTCAGCAAAATGGGAATAAGGAATTCTAGAATAGTATATTGAATGATTTATTATTTTTTCTTCATTCAAAGCCGGGTAATTTTTCTCCACTCAATACATGAGCGTGTAAATGAAATAATGTTTACCCTCCTTTCTATCCATCATTTAGTATAATTCTATAACTTTCTAATGGTTTTTATTTCGAAACTCTATTTATAGAAAACATCAGTAATCCTATAAGATTAATATTCTATTCTATGCAATTTGACAATCTATCTAAATTCTCTCTTGGTATGACTAATGCATGTATTTTTGCTTTAGATTTATATCTTCAAAAGCAAAGCACTTAAATATCAAATGTTACTTACATAGTTATACTCATAAAGTAATTTTTGCAGGAATCTGTCTTATAATTATTTTATCAAAAATTGTTGAGAATGAATAATAAAAGCTCTCATTAAAAATAATGTTATATATGAATAAACATAATTTTACTAATATAATACTAAAACTGTCAAATTAATTAAGATCCATTTTTAATAGGAATTGGATATCCCTTAAACTATTTAGATTGCTAAGATAAATTTTACAAATATTTATAATTACATAAGTTTAAAAAAACAACTATATTTTAAAGAGTATAAAAATTTTAATATTCATAACCTATTAACAAATTACCATTATGTTTTGATACTAATATGTCACAATACTTCAAATAATTAAATGATATTGTAGAACTAAACTGTTTGAGATTCAAAAATTACACTCTATTGTAGGGCTTAAAAATAAGGACACAATACTCTATATTAATAGAATAGATATAAATTAGGAAATTATAATTATAGATATGAATTGAAAGAAGAAATAGATAATTTTAGTTAAGAGTTTATAATGAAAATCATAGTCATATAATATACAATTTTGAAATGCTGATTTAACAATTAAGGTTTAAGTATAATTTGGAAATCAAAGTAGTGGTAGTAAATAAAAAGCCCAGAAGAACACATAAAATAGTTGTTTGAACAATATTTAAATTTAAGTTTAGTATAAACGCAAGATACTCCAAATGAAAAGCAATTAGTATATATTCCAGGGTTTATATATTTTGAATAATGAGTATAAAAATAATAAATTTTTAATTATTTTGAAAGATTGAAATGATTAATAATTATTTATATAAATAAAATGGTATTGATGTAACATGCATTGAGAATGATGAGTTTTTGTGATTTAATATTTAAATGATAAAAAAAATGATTTATAGAAAGCAGATGAAGGATTAGAATAGAATTTAATAAGGGTGATCGTTGTTGATGAGAAGATAGATGAATTAATATATGAAAATGGTTATTTGATGAATAATTAAAAATAAATAAATTAAGATTTAATGAACAATCCTCGTCCATCATAACTTCCTGCTTAGAAGGCAACACCATCACAATTACCAGCAACTAC